ATTTCTTTAATATAATTATAGTTTTTACTCTTAGGGAGGGGATTTCAGCAACATTTGTATCGGTATATTTCATAAGAAGGTATTTTAAACATGTGTATGCCATTTTAGCAAATATGACATTTTTTCCCCGACCAGCCCCTTTAATTATATAGTTATTGTGGTAATATTCCAATGTCGCCATCGTTTAGATGTTACGCTTCGTCCCCCGTGTTAAACTCGAGAAGCGCCAAATTGAACAGGTCTGGTAACTCGAGGCCACATGAAACCAGTTGAGTATTCTACTCTGATGTAAAAGAATGTATTATCAATATAATATGGCACAGTCGTCCGTAATGCGATTAATCGAAAAACAGTTGTTCAATTTTAATGAAACGCTGGTTTGACATATATGCTAGGTTGAGAGAGTTTCACACGGGTGACAATGTGCTGGTACTCTTGCAAGTGTCAGGTCATCCGTTGCAAGCAAGGTACCACGGTCCGTATGTAGTCGAGTCACAGGTCAGAGAGGTAAACTATGTGGTGAGAACGCCTGATAGACGGAAACATACCCAACTATGTCATATCAATATGATGAAAGAGTACATAGACAGAGATGAAGGTAGCCTTTTAAACCAATCGCCACCTGAGCCACTGCGGCTTTTCCAGTGATAATGTTGATGTGTAAGTGACTCTACCGTCGAATGCAAACTTCGCTTGAACAATTCTGATGTGCTCGCCAACTTTGATGAGAAGTTGAACCACTTGAACGCCGAGGAGAAGGAGGACATAAAACGTTTAATTCATGACTTTAAACACTTGTTTCCGGATGTTCCCAACAAAACAACCGCTGTGTACCGTGACATCGATGTTAATGATGTTACTCTTATTAAGCAACATCATTACCGCCTGAACCCTATCATAGCAGAACACGCACAAGCTGAAATCGACTGCTTGCTGAAGAATGACATCATTTAGCGAAGCAGTAGTGAGCGGAGCTCCCGTTGTGTGCTCATTCCGAAGCCCGATAGCCTTTATTGTTTTTATACAGATTTCCAGAAAGTCAACTCAGTTACGAAAACAGATTCGTACCCTATTCCACGAATTGACGACTGCATCGACAAAATCGGTAAAGCCAAGTTCGTGACTAAGTTTGATCTACTGAAAGGCTACTTGGCAAGTTCCGCTCACAAAGCGTGACAGAGAACTATCAGCCTTTGAAGTTTGTTATTTTTATTTTAAAAATATTCCGTATTTCGTTTTTTACATTATAGTCCGGTGTCCGGAGTCTTCACCACCGGACGAAAATTTAGTTTTCTTTCAAGCGTACGGCAAATGGCGATTGACACGGTAGTCTGTCGTCAGGTAAATGGGTTGTTTGACTATGTAAATATACTTATAAGTGATGTATATAGCTTTAGCATATAGTACATATTTTCATTGTTTGATGTTGTCGTTGTTATTTGTTGGTTTAGCAGGAACAGTGTATTTCGACCGTAACAATATCAGACAAATTGATCACTTCAAAATACAGGGTTATTAAATGTGTCTTGAGAGATACTTCATGATACAAAGGTTAATTCTAAATTTAATTAAAGTAGTTAATAATTGCACTGTTTATTCATTCTTTCTACAATGTAATTATTCTTGACATCTTAAATAAAGAAATGAATTTTAAATAAATTGATATATAATTGAATTAATAAATGAATAGAAATTTATTATTACTTAATCAAACTATCTTCATTAAAGTAAACGGGAAAAGTCTGGAATTTATTGTGGAACGGTTCATATGAAAAAAGGTTTAAATTCCTGTCATCATTATCCAAAAGGAACGGTTTTATGGGCACCTTCCTTCGTTTGATTTATTTTCACATGTTTTGGAATAATTTAGATATATACTTTAATTCTTTTGACCCCTTTTAGCATTACTGATGTGTCTTAAATGGATGAAATGGCAATATGGACAGAGAACACTAATTCTTTGGTTTTCTGAGTCGACTTACTTTTTTAAATAGGTATTTCCTTTCTTTCTAATTCTAGTGATTAGTGATAACCTTTCGTCGTGTTAGGATGCAATCTTTGCCGTCTTTGTTTTCCTTAAAGGTCAGACGTACAACAAGTAACATTCTATTAGATACTTGATAAACTTTGAGTGAAGTTTTAGTAATAGTTAATCATTTCAAAGTTACGCTTATAACAATGTCCAATGATAAATTTTATAATTCTGTTCTAATATAAGTTCATAATGCAATACATTTACCCCTAATTTCGAATCAGTTCTGATCAAGTTATTACTATATAATGTAAATGATCCAAGCACTCCAGTTATATTGATGTTAGGTCACTTTAAACATTTGACAATAAGATGTTACTGTTTGGAAGAATTATGAAAGCGTACGGTCATGTGACATAATGTTTGCCTGCAACACCCCTATACAACTTTTTATGACAAACTTTCAATACTTTTTTTGTATTAATTGATACTTAAACTCTTTTTGAATGAATGTATGCATCTTGATCACTACTGTATATTTATAGATATAATTTGTATCTTATCTTCTTCATACCCCGAGTTATCTCTCGTAATTGTTACAAGATTAACTCCGACACACTTTCTTTGAAAAGCTCCTTTCCCCTGTCCCCTTTTTAATATACTGTTTCTCTTCACAATAGTGTGATATTCATATTAAAGTATCTTACAACTTTTAAAATAGATGGTACGCAGTGTCAGTGGAGTTTTCTTTGATAGCTGATGGTTCTCTGGTTAGGTGTTCCCTCTTCCGATTGCCTAGGGTATGTTTGTTTCTTCCACCTAGACCTGTGTACACCTACATGTTTCCCATTAAAGATGGTGAATTACACCACTTTTTGTCTTTGATACGGGTAAAGCTCTTCTGTTTGATGATATAATTAGTTGGTTTACGGTAAATTTTAACCACGTTATTCATGAACTCTTTATGTAGTGCTTCTGAAGTTCCCCGGATGTATTGAAAACTTGCTTTTCCAGTCATAGATCAAAATGGTTTTGCCATAAAATAAAACAATAAATTAAGTTGTTATAAGGAAGATTGTCTGTTAAGATATCATTGGGCAAATTTGTACAAAAGAAACGTATATCGAAAACAGCATTATCAAGTAGACATCTACAATATATATGTATGAGTGCAAATAAAGATATACTGTTCATGTATTGGTATAACGAAAGTATTCCAACCGAACTTCCTAAGCGATTTATGTAAAGAATAAGTATCACCTCAACTGACGAAACAGGAACAAAGCAACATTTCTATATTGTTTTATGGACACAAAAAATCGACATTTGCAGTATTAGTTACAAGTTTATATACCGTATGTATTTTGGACGTTCTTTTGCATAATAATAGTTTTTCGTTTACAACACTAGAATTTTTATTTTTATAAATTTTGTTTTAGAAAATACATCGGTTATTATATTATGAACTTTATCGGGTCAAACAAATGATATGTAATACTCATTTGTACATAATTTGTTTCAATATTTCATGTTTACTCTTAATTTATTGCATTTAATATACATTTTAATGTACATGACGGTCGTTTCATGGTTTTACAATCGGATTGACGAATAAAATGAAACTTTCACTGATCGTCCTTCCTCTAGCCATGTTTTTAAACAATGTGTTGAAGAAATTTAAATGTTTTTAAACACCCAACAAAAAGGAGATTAAACAAAAAATCTTTTCGTGATTTGTTTTACAATATTTGTATTGTCAGATGACTAACTAGTCATTCCAAACGACCGTTTTAAAACAGTTATCATAGAATATTCTATGATTTGTTCAAAATGTATCTCGTAGAGTAATTACCCAAAACATTAAATGAATTAAAATAAGAAATAAAGAGCAATATCATGTAGGATACACTTCAAAATGAAGGTCTTTCATTGCCACTCTCTTTGAAAAAAGTCGAATAAAATACTCAAAGATAAAACGAGGTTAGTTTTCTCTAAATGTTCGACCAGAGAAATATATGTCCCATTATGTTCGAATGTCAAATAAAGACCTTCTGACGTAAATCATGTAATAATCTATCTCAATTAATTTGCGTTTTCAATTTTGAGATTATGACAAGAATATGCAACCTATTTTGAAAGCTGTCGCGTCGCTTTATCCTTGACAGCGAAAACACATACAAAGTATTTCTCAACAATGCAATATGGTCTAATTCGTGCTGAACTCTACTTATGTTGTACAAACAATCAACTGTTTTCATAATAGTTAATACACGCTAACATACTCATGAAATCTCTATTCGGAGGAAACATTGTCTCTCTGTCTGTCTGTACATGCCGAATTATCTAAGAAAAAATTAAATTCATTAAATAGCGTTTTAAGAAGTGTTTTTAAGATGACGTTCACTATGTTAACACTCATAACATAGGTAAAAAAAAAGACATGTATTTTATATATTGTAATTAGTTGTAAATATGTCTATATGCAATTTCAAGTGGGTAAGAGTGGCGGTCTTGCATAAGAAATGACTTCCTCCTTAATCCATGCTGCAGGTGTTTTGTAAATACTGTCGTTGTACACACTATCGGTAAATTTATAATCTAAAATGTATTTTACTAAACGTGGTGCAGTAAGAGAACATATAGAGTTAGGTGTGTCAATGTTAATTTTTGTTATTACATCCTCTGTAAAATGGCTCTTTGAGGCTTTACGTAGCAGTGTCGCCATCTGGCTGGAACCATAATGAAGGGATAAACGTAACGTTCAAACAATTGATACTACCTTTAAAATATGGTTATTTTAAAATAACACTGATATTTTAAAACTTTCAATTCCTCGATCTCCGCCTTCGTTATGACACCATTATTGAAGTATTTCAATAAACTGTTAAAAGACATGAAACAACGTATTTTTCCTGATTCTATTCGAATGATAGCTTGATTTTAGATTTTCCCTTCATATATGGATTGTCTCTGTACCTTTAAATGAACACGAACTAAATCACACTTTCCTGTATCGAGAACAACAACGTTTTTGTTTTCACTGCTGCATGCAAGCTTTATTTGCGTAAGCATAGAAATAGTTGAACATTAACGTCAACGTACATAACCTGAGATTCACTTGTTTTCCAACAATACATGAATACAAATACCAGAGGATATATTTACACTGTAACCTATTAAATAGAAATCGTCTGTCTCACTGATATGCATATTGATTGATTGGAGCAAAAGTCTTTGTCAGGATATAATGCATTATGTTATTTTGCAATAAATATAAAATCTTATAACATGGTTTGATTATCATATACCGCATGAACTCGATAACAAAAAGCAAATAATATAAATGCATCATGGAAAAAATGTCATTGGACACATCCGTAACAATCGTTTAAGAAGAAAAATTAAGACAATCAGCGATTATTCCGCTATTGCTTACTGCTTTTTACAGTGTATCACATTATAGACTGATTTAAAAAAATGCTGTCAATAGCTATGTTTGCGCCCTATGTATTGTCGCAATATACAGCTTCATACCTTATGAAATGAAATGCTGGTAACGATAAGGAAACATATGCTACTAAGTATATGTGAAGGATAAACTAAAATAAGATTACTATATATTTAAGAATTTTGCTGAATAAAAAAAAATCCTGTCCAGGTTTCTGAATCACAGGAGGCATGTGAAAGTAAAATATAATGTGAAAGCGCATTAGCTTAAAAATGTAAGTGTATATACAGGTATGTCCGTTATTCAAGCAAGTTCGTTCGGGGGTACTTTGAGATGTTTACAAACAGCTCTCATCCTGCAATATTCGTAGATATTCGGTAGGTGCCTGGTCCCGTAACTCTGTGAGCACCCGTTGGTGACTCGCCTGCCTTAAGACCTCAGACTGTGGATCACGCCTGTCCTTGCAGATCATTGGCATACGTATCGGCTTTTGCTGTTGTGGTCGACAACCGGAAATACATTTATCCACGGGACGTAGCGAGAAACACATGTTGTCCAATTTGGTCCTGACCTCTGTTTTCTTTTCCAGTCGACATACTGCTAAAATAAAGACGAAAATAATGACGAATATACAAATTGATTGCATCCACTATATATCGTCATTGCTAGTGATGGAACTGTACTTCATTAAATACTATAGTACAAAAGTGAACACTAATTAAGCTAAATACATCATTGTCAGTCTTGGTGAATCATGAAATTTGAAATTTAAATTTTAAAAAATGAAAATATTATATGTTTATGTATCGATAGCATATAGCACTCGCGATATTGATCGTCGATGAGCCAGACCATTAAACGAAAATCTTTTTTTTTTATTGAACCCTTGCTTTTTGAAATACTGTTTGTCGGGTTTCTGAGCATAGCGTTATTCCAGTAATTATTCGTTGTTACTAAAACAGTTTAGTAAATAATAATTCTGAAACAGAATATTAGCAGATAATCATTACCTGGTTTTGCTATCGAGTTAGGTAAGGCCTGGCTGCACTCGCGTCTGACATCCGCAGCCTCACACTGATCATTTGAAGTAACGTAGCTAGCTAACAGACAAGCCGGGTCCTTGCGAGTCTGTTTCTGGGGGTCCTTGTTATCGTTGCTTGGGTTACCATCGTAGTCACCACATAGTCCACATACTTTAGAATAATAGAATGGCGACACCTGTGCGGGAAAAAAATATGTGTCTTTGCTAAAACATTTCACAATTATCAGTGATGTAATTATGTATTTTACGGTCACAGATAAAATATTGAAATACTATTTATGAAAATAGTCATTTGAAAACTTCGTTAGGATAAAATACCTTGACGTGTTTATTCAATTACTTTGAAGATATGCATTGTATGTTTAACAATAAGTAATGAAAGTAAGCCTGCATACTTTAATTGATATCAGCTCTCCGTCAGTGACAACTTCCGTTCCCTGAATAGGTACATGCACATAAACACGGGGTCCTCTCTTCAATATTTCAATCAGAATGGGTTGATGTCTGCAACATATCATTTTACAAAACTTAATATTTTAAAACTTTAAAATATCAACTTGCAACACCAATGAATCAATAAATACATAATATCCAGTTTTGATTTTATTACATTTTTTTTCCGATATTACTATTCATTGTTTGTTTTTGAATTAGGACTACGACTGACCTTCCTTCCTGTTCGTCTTTCTTAATCACATAAGGGGAATTGTCTGTAACATTCCGCTCGACATCATCTACTTTTACTACTAAATTGTTGTTTCTCGGGATCACTTCAATTTTCTTATTTTTGATCATGATTTCAACAGCCTTCAAAGAGAAATATACATAAAACAATCATTTATAACAACTAAAAAGCTCACTTTTAATCTGTAAATGCTAGATGCAATGCTAGACAAACTGAATTCTGAATTTTTATGAATCAACTTATTGGATACTTTTTAAACTTGAGATTAGTTGGGAGTTGTTCGACATATCAAAATTCAGGACCTTGGTTAAGATTTTTTTTTTTTCAATTATAGGTGCGGTAGCAATTTGATCATTTAAATAGCTATCTTTACCTTTTTAACAGGATCGGCATTAACTTTCCTGGCTTTGAAAGCAAATTCAGATGAAGAGGAACAATCCATAGCAAAAACAACATCGCATCCTTTTGAGTCCGGAATCGTGTATTCCTTTGCATCCAAAGTTGTCAACACATTCCCTCTAATCTTGCAAATACCTATATGAAATTGAAAACAAAAATAATAATATTTTTTAATGAAAAACTATCATCTCGATTTTATGACATTTGATTTGTTTACATTCGTCGAACACTAATATTTTATGTATAAATTATTGAAAAGACTTGTTAAATAATAACAATGTACCTGGAAGTTTATTCTTGATTCTCAAAGGTGAGGGAAGAATACTGTTTCGGAATGGCTTTGGTTGCATGGATGATACGAATGATTTCCACGAAAACGGCATCAGGATTCCCCGAAATCTGTCGACTTCATATTGAGTTAACATATCCATATTCATCTAAAATAAAAATGCTGGGTTCAGAACTCATGAAAATAAATTATATTCTACCGTGTCGACAATCTTACATTTTTAAACGGCAGCAAGTGTTATTGATAGACACGCGCGGGCATGCTCCAATTGCAATTAAGTACCATGCACGCGTTACTCTCTTCCGAAAGCTTCCCTGCATTGCAAAAGTAAAAATGAACCGTCAGCGGCTTGTCTAGGACGGGTTTTTTTGTCGAGTGAAGAAACATATATAAGTAGAAAATTAAATCGTCTATTAGATACACCCACGTTAAAAATGGCAAAAAGGACAACAAGTAGCCTCGAGAAAAGTTGTTCGTGAAATTAAAATAAGCATATCGTGACAAGTGCTAAATAACAACAAAATGTAAACGATTTTATCATCTAGGTCACAAAACCCGATAGACACTTATTTAGAAATAAATGCAAATTATATGTTGACATTATAGAATAGATTCCCCAATATATATTTGTTCGTATGCTATGGTGTATTGTATCATTCGGGACTCGCAAAAGTTGGGGAGATAATTAACTCCGGCTGAAGATGCATTTGTTTATTATGCTTTCTCACTATTGTTTTATTTTCTATAACTTAACACATAAATGTGTTTTTTTTCTTAAATATGGCATATTTTTGCAACATTGATATGTTAAGAAGTTGCCGACGCGCATTGATCATACTCGGGATGCAGTGCTTCGTTTTTCAAGGAGTTAATTATTTTATCACCCTATAATATAGTTTAGCCATGCCCCCCGCCCCCCACACACACATTGGAATTTCAACCTTGCTAAATTTTGTGTTTATGAACAAACCTGGTAGTTGTTCCTTTCGATATCCATGACGAGCTCCATGTAATTTGGTTTGTATGACTTCTCTGGGAAATTTTGTCTCATGTGATGGAACATCTCGAACTTCAAGAATTCTCTGTAGCGCCAAAAGTATAGCTGTAGGTACTCGGGGATCGCATCCTTAGGTGGTAATTAAGATAATATCACAAATTCTATCAATAAATGTACGGCGGAAGGTAAATATTGGACAAAGATGAAAATAAATGAAATATTTGTATATGTCATATCATTATTTTGTTCTCAAACCTTTTTTAATAAGTATCTATTCTGGTGTCTTTAACTGTGAGGACCATCTTGTACATGTTCAAGGATGTGATAATGTAACAATAAAATTGAAGGAAAGAATAAAGTATTTTTATATACTGTTTAAAAAAATTCTAAAGTAATATTTATGTATTTTGACATACATTGTACGTGCAAATTAACATGAATCAAACATGTTTTGAAACTAACTTAATACCTTGTAGTAGTTGATGCTAAAGTGGAAGTGGCGGAATGTGTTCAGTTCCTCATCCAGTATTTCCGACGACTTCGTCATGTCTTCTACTCCACTTTCCTTGACGCTCAGGTACTGCTTTACAACTTTGTCTCTAACTGAAGGTAATGACTGATCCTTTTCCCAAAATATTTGCGCCAGTGATTTCTTACCAATCATCTATACAAAAATTGAAAACAACAGAATCTTTAAAAAATGTAACACAATGCAATGAAATATTAATCCAGGGAATAAACATCATGCAAACCTAATTCTTTTATATATCTTTTGATATATTGATATAGGTAAAATAGAAACAATAATCGTTTCTAAGATATTTAGATAATGCTGTCTCATCGTAAGAATTAAATAACTCACCTCGATCGATATCGCTTTGGTACGTGCATGATCTGGTCCTACGTGAGCAGTCATCTCCCAATACAATCTCTGTGGGTATTCCATATCTCTTGAAAGTGTCTTGCTTTTGACTACCCTAGAAACTTTTTGACTAGGCAGCATGGAGTCATGATATGTGTCCGACAAATCCATCTCTCCAAACAGAGACAGCGCCTTTTTCATTTGTTTCAGTTGGTCAAGATATGCATCTTCTATGTTATCTTTCAGAGTGGTCAATGGTCGACGATCTCTTGACATTACCGATTGGTAATGGTAAAGTGACAATTTGTAAACATTTTCTTTAAGTTGTTCCAGCAGTTTCACCTGCGTTTGCATCAGCTTTGCAGTCATATGAATTAACTGCGGGGATGACCTTTGTGGTTCGTCAATTAGATGTTGTAATTTTCTTTTTATTTCTTGAATGTGTTTCATGCTGTCCTGAAGAAGTAGAAGTCTCTCGTCGTCTTGACGTGGTCCTGAACGAACTTTCTTGCTCTTGATTTTTTCTAGATTTTCAGTGACTAGTGGTTGAAGAAGTTTTATCTGAAGAAGTTTCTGGAGTTTCTGATGCTCACTGCTGGGTATGGCTTGCGCAAGTATGTTATATTCCTCCTCTTTTGATATCAGATGATCCAAGATATTTGTCAAACTAGATACTTGTGCTTTCATGGCTTCTCTATGTGCGACGCATGCTTGTTTTATGTCAGGTTGCATCACTTGAACATTACCATCCATCACTTGCTGTTTAACAAGTTCCATCTTTATTTTTATACTCTCTATAACCTGTTTTTGAAGAATAACAGCTTCAAGAACCTCATATAATACTGGTTTAGGTATATCTATTTTCCCGACGATGGCATCCTTTATTTTTCTTTCTACAGTACTTGCTTTACTAATTACCTCTAGAACATCTGACATTGTCACGTCTTCGAGTCTTGGAGCCGTACTTGGAGACAGCAAATTCAGTAAGACACGTTCTTGTTTCACTTTCAATTCCTTTTGTTTAAAGTCAGGCATTGGTGGGTTTTGTGACTCTGGTAATAACACTTGGCCTTGTTTCTTTACCATCTCATACAATTGGATTTCAGCAACTTTCAAATGATCTTTCATATCCGCCTGCATCGAATCTGGTAACATGTCTTTCAAAACTGCGTACATATTCAACATATTTCTTAACACCTCTTGCTGTTTATAAACCGAATATTTAACTAGCAAGGGTTTTCTTATATCATTGTTATCTCCTTGAACCTTGCCTAATTCTTGATTTAAGATATCAGCAGCTAGCTTGGCTCTGTGAATCAAAGACATATATTTGATTTCATTCTGCTTGAGACTCTTCTTATCGTACATCTCATGTTTTAACTGTTTCAGCATAAGAAGTATGTTTCTCTCTTCTTCAGCTAATTTGATTAATTTCTTCAAAATAGGATCAGCTGATTCCTCCGTTTTCTTGACCATGTCCTGTACCAAATCATCAACCAATGTCATAGAACTGGTTAGGCTTTGCATCCTTGTCACCATCATGTCTTGATACGCAGGAAGGATATCATGAATTCTGTGTGTCATATAAAATTTGCCATCTTCTTTAACATACAACTGAATTTGTTTTTCCAGCTCTTCCAAGTACGAGGGATCAATCAGTTTCGACGGCTTTATATGAACTCTTGGAAAAGTCATCTTAAAGTCCATATCCCATTCTGAAGGCTCGGTTTCCCACTGTGGAAATGGTGATCTCTTGACTAAAAAGCTTAGTCGTCTCTCATATTCATCAAGGCTTTTCTGGAACAGTGCTTCTATATTACAGTATCGCAGTGGACGACTTCCTATACCAGTCAGTTTAAGTGAATAAGCGTACTTCTTTCCATCCTGCCATATTGGCACTTTACCTCTCAATTTCTCAATCAAGTGTTGCAAATATATGTTGGGTGTATTTTCTTCACTTGAAGATGCTGGGCTGTCATTGACCCCAAACACATTGAATACGTTAAGATAGCTTAGATAGCTCTCGTCTTGTTGATCTTGCTCTCTAGTTTGGTCAGGAAACGGCGCGTCTGTGTCGCGGTTTTTAATAACCATAAAATCCAACTGGTATTTTGTCGGGGGACTCAATCCTGGAACGACTGTGAAGTAAAGCATTTGCTTTCCAGAAAATGGACAGTATGGAATGGTAGGAAAGAAGTTTCTTGTTACTCTTTGTCCACTCATTGTGAACTTCAGTCCGAGCTCATGATTTCCATATTCTTTCGATACCTGCATGAGATGAACACATGAAACATCTGAATTCAAATACCGTTAAAAGGTATCCAATGAGCGAGAACATACATATTCACCAGTGGTAAAAGCGCCGTTTTCACTTTCAATAATTATATAAAGCAATCAGATTTTCACAAAACAATAAATATTGATAACAACATTTTACACCTTTGTGTGCAATACGCTTCACTGGTCATTTGTCTGATGAAGGTGACAGTGTACATATCGTACTAATCGTCGTAACGTCACATAGAAAACCGTATTGGTTGTGTAAAAAGAACTCCTCAAAATCCATACTTACCAACCTGAAGAAAATGTTTAGAAAAATACAAGAAGCCCGTTATATATTGTGATTCAGAAATAAATATTTTGATGTAATTATTACCAGGTTCAAATCATTTAATTACTAAATAGACTGAGTTTTTATCAATATATATTATTCTTACCGTTTCCAGGATAGCATTCTCAGCAACGTCGATATCTTTTGTTTCTGGTAAAGTCGGCCAATAGCGTATATCAAACGGTTCTTTTCTTACAAATGTAAACGGCTTCATTTCTAACTTCATAAACTTTTCTTTCTGTATCAAATAAAGAACATTTTATGAATTATCTTCATGCTTGAATAAAGTATGCTTTATTAAATGAATTCGCTTTTGTTTGCTGTGTTATTTACCTTGCAGACTTGGTAAATCAATCAAACTGCATATTTGATTCAGCAGCTGACCATCAACGTATACTATCTAGATACATTCGCATCAAAAGATGTTTTTTAATGAAGAGAGTTTGCGCTTCAGTTATTTATATATCTCATTGCAGACTAGTACAAAACACAGTGGTAACAATCAAAAGACGTTTTTTCTCACATTGGCATTTGTATCATTTTCAGTTTGGCCTGATTGAAACACTCATTTATGATTTATATAACGTCATATATTGTATGTGCATTCAATAAAAATAGCCGTCGAAAAAACCTAATGGTATACGGTGTACGGATATCAACACTGTTCTAGTCATTCACGAGAAACAAATACCACTGCAACAACGTCGATTTAGTTACTGTGGAATTCTGAACATCAAACAAGTTAATAGAAAGTAGAGCTTACTAAGTTTGAAACGTCAAAGTTAGAATAAAACTTGTTTTTCGCAGCGTCATAACCGTAGTTGAAGAGTAGTGGTGATTCCGCTTGTATTACACCTCGTACAGAAGCTCCACTCTTGAAGTAAAATGCATCGACCATCATGTTCCCTTCCATCTCTATGACAGCACTGTAAATATTCATATAAATATGCTTCATGCTTTGAAAATATGTCAAGCAATTTCTAGCAGTTACGATTTTTTTTATTGAAATTAAATCAGTAACCACTTGTGATTCATAGCTAACAAATTAAAATTGTATCTTTTTACAGTATGATAGTTAAAAAGCAAATATTAAAATTGTATCTTTTTACAGTATGATAGTTAAAAAGCAAATATTAAAATTGTATCTTTTTACAGTATGATAGTTAAAAAGCAAATATTAAAATTGTATCTTTTTACAGTATGATAGTTAAAAAGCAAATATTAAAATTGTATCTTTTTACAGTATGATAGTTAAAAAGCAAATATTAAAATTGTATCTTTTTACAGTATGATAGTTAAAAAGCAAATATTAAAATTGTATCTTTTTACAGTATGATAGTTAAAAAGCAAATATTAAAATTGTATCTTTTTACAGTATGATAGTTAAAAAGCAAATATTAAAATTGTATCTTTTTACAGTATGATAGTTAAAAAGCAAATATTAAAATTGTATCTTTTTACAGTATGATAGTTAAAAAGCAAATATTAAAGAAAGAACTAGGATCAGATTCAATGCAAACAAAATTGGAGTTTTGAGTGTCGCTATTATAAAATAGTGTACCTCGGGTGAATGTTGAACGCAGCATCAAGCTTTCCCAGTTTATTTTCATATCTGTTCTTCTTGAATAAGGCAGGCGTAGCCATGACAGAAAGTGACCCTTGTACTTTCATGAAGGTAGAGCCATGTAAGTCCATCCTTATTGGGAAACCTGCTTCTGATGCAAACATATGCGTAACATCGGACAAAACCATCGACTTGTAGAGTTTAAGTTTGGTTCCCACTCTAAGATCCTCTTCACTAACTGGTACATGGATTTTGCCTGCAATATGAATTCGATATTGGTTTATTTCAAAGAATTCATTATACGGGTGTCTCAGAAATTAAAGTTACTACATAACATCACAATATATGACGTTTAAAGAAACAATCAGATATCGTATACAAAATTAATGCTATATAACAATGTATAATATCGTTTTGTTGTGGTCACACACCTTGTCTGAGTAACCTTTCGATAAACTTGTTGTCGAAGGGAATGTAATTTATTTCATTTCCAAAAGCTTTAATGTAAATGTGCCCTTCTGTCTCTGGTGTCTGGCGGGGGGAAACATTCAACTGAAACCATAAGAACAACGAAAATAGAAGTAAAACACATGAACAATTGTCATCGTCATCGTGTTGTCCACTATAATCAATGGCACATTTTTAAGTGCAAATCTCAATTAATAGTGCTGTAATCAATTGTTTTCATTTCATTTTTATAATAATAATAATTATATACAACATTTCTATAGCGCCCTATATAATTTGTAAAATTACTCTAAAGCGCTTTATAACATATGGATTATAGTATTAGTTATAATTGTTAAACAAAATCAAAAAAGACTTAGAATCACCATTATACAATAAGCAAGAAGATAATCATCTCAATGTGCACATAAATAAATTAATAAAGGGTTGTATGTAAATGACGTCTGTGCAAATAGCCTAAAATGCAGACGTGAAGAGGTGAGTCTTTATGTCCTTCTTGAATTTGGCCAGGGTATTTGACTTTATAATAGCAGATGGTAAGCTATTCCACAACGTGGTCGAACACCTCCCAAAGCACCGGTTTTCAAAGGTCACAGTTCGAGATTTTGGGACACACAACAATGATTCTGTCTCCGACCGCAGTGATCGTGACGGCTGATTCAGTGTTATAAGCTCATGTAGGTACTGAGGAGCTGTTCCATTCAGTGCCTTGTATGTGTACACTTCATTTTTGTACTGCGACCTGTATTGCACAGGTTACCAGTGCAATGAATATAGCACAGGTGTGATGTGCTCTCTCTTTCGAGTGCGAGTAACCAGACGTGATGCAGTGTTCTGGACCCTCTGTAGATGACTAGTTAGGTTGCCATATATACCACAGAGCAGGACTTTATCATAAACCAACCGAGAGGTAACAAGTGCACGCACCAAAGTCTTGCATGCATTTGCAGTTATAAACTGTATAATTGTAATTGTTTTACCTGTCTGTGTATATCCAGTATTGGGTTCGACTGTTCATTGTTGTTATCTACACTGAACGAATCGTCACGTGACCCCGACTGTGGCTGTGGTTCCAAAATGTCCAATGGAGATTTTCCCTTCTTCCATAAACTGTATGGCCCCATTATTTTACTCAGTAACTGCTGAATTCCTTCAGAGTTGTAGCCGACCTGGTCATGAATACAACAAGTATTAATCGTCATAACCATTTTTTATAAAATGCTATTTTTGCTTTGACTTAATAGAACACTTGACTAGAACAAATGACCGCAACATACTATTTCGTCCATATAAGCTCAAAACAGTTCTGTGCAAAACAGAAAGCACAAACTATATAAAACGGTTAACTTTACCTCCATGAAATTAATTTGGCGCCCAAGAACGTTTGCACGGAATTCAGCAGCCATAGAAGTGGGTATAAATTCCTTTGACGATGAAAGAAAAGTTAAGTCCATCATCATACCAAGTTTCCTTGTGTCTGAAAGATAAATGAGTCATGTGGTTTTAGATAATGCATAATAATGTTGTTTTAGTTTCAGTGATTTTAAGTATTAATATACACCTTCTCGATTATACACCTTTCAGAACAGTGACAACTCCTCGAAAACATCTCCTCAAATGCTAAATAATGCTGACAATCAATATTATTTATAAAGATCAGCCGGGTTCTATTCTCCAATCGGACGTTTCAAAGTACTCTTGTTTCCTCCAATATTTAGACCCATGTGCACTTCTAACCATCCTTAAAAGAGTGATTGGTGCAAATTCAAAACTTGTTTCAAGGATTATTAAACAAACAAAAGGTTTTTAAAACACAGTTTGAAGGTCCGATAAAGTGTCGCCGGATACCCAGTCACACGCACGCTTATCGCACACGAGTTCAAAGCGCCGAGAAACTTTCTAAACATCAGGGCGGTCATGACTTTTTCGGAATTAAATAATATAAGTGTTTTTCACTTTTGTAAAAGTGTTAGAGACGTGTATAATTAACAGTTTAGAAAGAACTTACCATCATACATGGAAGAGTGCATATATCTTGAGTAATGATATTTAGAATCATATTTCTTGGCAAATCGCATAGCCCATGTTGAGTTCTTCACCCTGTGGATATAGGAAACATGTACATGTATATGTACATACAAACTTATATGTTATCTGTTATACTATTTTGTTGACGTTTACTTTTATAATGGCTAAAGGTAATACTTTAAACAAAACCCAAATTTGTTAAAGATGCATAAAACTGTCATGCATTTGCAACATAGCGAAATGCATGCTTGTTTTTAAACCATTAAATATGCGTCGTCAGTTACAAACAAAGTGTATTTTTAATAAGTGATGAAAACTTCGAAGAATATGTTTTGTTGATAATACATATCAGGGCGAGCTCTACACTTGATATTAGGTGATAATTCTAATAGGAAGAATAAAAGCATAACCTTTATTGTAAATCATTAGCATTGCACTTGCTATCAACTCACATTGACATCATACAGGGGTTAGAGCTGTTAGAGTACTGCTCAAGTAGACTGTACACGAAAGTTCCAATATTTGGGTTAGTTTCATAGTCAAGGTGTTGTACGGCCATTTCGAGCATCGGCCTAGGAGGACTAGCGGTGAAAAACATCAAGAACGCTACTATTCTGATAGGTTCTGGTTCAGTTCTGTCGAAGTATTTCGGGAGCAGAATATTTCTGACCTGTATTAAAAGGAACAAAAATATGGCTATACTTTTAAGTTCCTATAGTCTTTAATAATGCGTTTTTTATTTACAGTACAATAGAAGGCATATTCTGCATGATGCTTGTATTAATATATCCATGCTAAAATATTACTTTCTGAAGTGTTAATAAAAAATACCCAAGGTTTTGTTTTTAGATTGATTTATGCGACTGATTTTTAAAAAGAGGAATGTATCGTCCTCGCCAAAGCGATGATCATATGGAGATGGCTGCAAAGTTAAATAAACCTTATCTTCGGAGACCTTACTTACAACTTCTGGTTCGAACGGAATCATTTTTCTAAACGCAAACATCGCTTGTGATCTGAGAATATAGGACTTCGACTTGTCGTAGATGATGTTCTTTAAATCCGGAATCAATTCAACAAAACCGGCGTTTCCAATCGTTTTCAAAGCCATTATATTATCTTCTTCGGCAGTGGATCGAAGAAGCGTTTGAAGCATCTGCAACAGAAAACGCCTTTAAAGTGTGAAAATGGAATCATAGCATACGGAAAAATTCAAAACAATAGGTCAATAAAAATATAAACGGTACTCTAAGAGCTAGATTCCGACATTCTTTCTTTACAAAATAACTCTGGAAGCCTTAAAGTAACACCTAATAATGTTGATATATTCTTAAGTATATGGCGTTTGACCAGTGTTACAAAATGCCTCAGCTACAAATTTGAAGGAGAAATCAGACTGAGTAACTCTCATTGACGAGTACTTTTCCATTGCAGTAGGAGTGTATTTCCCTTTTGAAAGTTTAAGTCTTCGCAAGTTTTACATGTTATACACCTCACATACGTTACCTGGACGAACTCTTCTTTTAAACGACTTATGATTTTTGTTTTCTTTTCCATTTTTGACTCGTATTTCGCCAGTTTCTGTCTCAGCTCCCTTTTGATTGGGCCTGGCTTTTCGGCCTGTTCTACTTTCTGCAAAAGATGTTTTTCTTCCCAGATCTCAGCCATCTTTTTTCCATGGTCGGTATTGATTTTGTTCACAACAGAGCCCATACAAAGCCACGCTGCTATCTTTGCCGGTCTGTGTTGTTCAATCCATGGTAACTCTACGATTTTCTGTAATGTTTTAATATACCAGATTAATCATTTTGGTTTTATTAAATCAAATAAAAAAGAGCATATCGAAGTGTCAACAAAACCCTAATTCAAACGATAAAACTAGTTCAAACTAAGAACAAAGGAAAGATTTACATGGAGACACCATAGATGATACCCGCCATGTAAATATAAGTGAAATCAAAGTAATGCCACGTCTTCACATCGAAAACTCGGCTAGTGAAAAAATAAACCACAAGGCACGCTATTGAGCATACTCAAAGGCTTTGACCTTCACAAAGAAAAAGATATATGCAAGATCATGATAAAACTTGCCAATGACCATGAAACTTGTCCATAGCCTTCTTCAATCTGCATCTTTGCAAACCTTGTGATGTAAAATTATTGTAAATATAGACATATGTCTGTAATGTACATCATGCTGTAATTTGTTTAAGATATGATTCTTTCAAGAACACCGCTATTGAAGTAAGTTTGGTTTGGTTTGGTTTAGAATTGTTTAACGTCCTATCAACAGCTATGGTCATTTAAGGACGGCCTCCCCTGTGTGCAAGATGCATGCGTGTAGTGTATGCGTGTGTGTTTTGGGGGCTGCTATATGTTCGTGTTTGTCTCCTTGTGATAGCGCGACTGATGCCGACTTTATGGTGCTACCTCACTGAAACATACTGCCGAAGACACCCAGCAGGACACCCACCCGGCAACATTATACTGACAACGGGCGAACCAGTCGTCCCACTCCTAAATTGCTGAGCGTTAAGCAGGAGTAGAAACTACCATTTGTACAGACTCTCGTATGTCTCCTCACATGGGCCAACGCTCAACTAAAGGCCAAAAGTTAGGCATTGTCAAGGGAGACATTAGGAAGAAGAAAAATGTTTAGAAAGAAGAAAAAAGATAAGATCCCAAATTAAGTCGCCTCTTACGATCATGCAATGGGGTCAGCAGGTACAATTCTTACGCCCTACCTGCAGGTTCAAATAAATTAAGTAAATAAAGTATCGTGTGAACTATTATAATATTAAATTATCATTATTAGTATCTGAAACAAATCGGTTTCAGTAAGTTTACATGTAAAATAGAAAACCAAGCTAATATAATCGTCAGTTCATAGGCAAATCCGAAATCATAGTCGATAAAAATATACTAACACGATCTTAGAAGACACCAACACAAACGAAAAAACATTATGCAACCCAATAAAATATCGAAGGCGTATCAACGTGATAAGTATAAACGAACTTTCGGCGAATTGTAGAGCTCATCATCAAAAGTTTGATCCGTATTAATTTCTTAATAATACCATGATGCTTTTGTATCATCGTACTTCCAGATAGTGCAGTATTACCTGAACCCACTTAGCGACGCAAATGTCCGGCATAGAGGATATGGTTAGAGTTTTGAGAACAATAGCTGCTTCGTCTTGGGTCATTTCTGTGCCTTCAATTGCAGTTGCCAAAACATAGGCGGCAGCTGGAGTACCGGCAGCTGGCAGCATGTCAATCAGAATTTTTCTAAAGAAAAGTTCAACCATCATAATCAATTAAAAAGGTAAAACAGTATGTCTAGTCACAACCATAATGGCGATTCAGTCATGATAATTCATCATAATGTTAAAAAAGATTGCCGGGTTTAGCGAATTAAATCAAAATATTCAGCGAAGATAATTCAAAGCAATGTTGTTACAAGCATGAAGAAGAATCTGTTTGATTGCAAAGTGATTAAATACTTTATATATTTACCTGGGCTTAAATTTTCGCGATTTTCAAAATTAGAAAGAAAAAAATTACGGATTATAATATCGCGATCTAGACATTTGAAGAAACTTAATTTTCGCGGTGTTTAGTACATAAACGAGAATCTCGGCATAAAAAGTGTCAAATATCCAAAAGTTTATTATCGTGGCTCATTTTTACGCTTGCTATATTTTTCTACGAATCATATTTTCGCGATCACGTTATTGACCCGCGAAATTGCTAAAATATCATCTCCGCGGAAATATCCTACTATGCGGGATAACACTTACCTGATGCGAATCATGCCTGGATCTGTGTTAGGTTTGCCATAGCGTGTCCAAAACTTTATTAAAACTTTGTAGTCAGCGCGACGGAACTCTACCATGATGTTGACAAGAAGAGACGTAGCCTCCTCTTTGATTTCATGCTCTGTAAATGCTGATAGTGAATTCAGTAACTTTTGAATCTGAAAAGAAATAAATTTCATATGATTATAAAAGCAGATACCGCATATTCTAATTACTCAAGAAATAATTTATCATTTTTTTTCATACGTTTCTTATCTCTGGAAATGACATTGTAACATTTTTTAAAGAAATTGACAAAAACCTGTTCCTGTAAATAATGAACGCTACCTGGAAGGTGTTTACGTAAAATATTTAAATGAAATCCAAACATCTACAAAGATTAAGTAAATAAATTGAACTGAAGTACAAACAAACCAACAAAAATAAAATTAAAAATCTTAGTTAGTGTAGAGTCTAAATCAACAATTTAGACATTGGTTTTCAAAATAGATCAAAAGATGTCGAAATCAGAGTCCAAATTTTAATTTGATATTTTTCGTTCTGTCAATAGTTTGCCTATATTTGAACTAATGGAAGAATTTAACAATTTTTGGAAAACAAAAGCTAAATTAATTCGTTGTGAAACAAGCCTTAAGTGTAAAATATGGCAAATCACAGAAAAATGATGGTATATTATAAATGGTTGTTATTCAGGAGGTATTTGGAAAAAGTTGAACATCCAGGTAACTACTAAATGATGAGAATCCTTTTCTAATTATAATTTTGCATTAAGGTCAGTCAGATATGCCAAAACATAACTAATCCGTTCAGCTTATTGTTACATAATCACCATGGTGAGCATTAAATATATTCGTCAAACCAGGGTATCAATGGGACTGGTAACCTACACTACTAATTTATACATTGTTCCTGATAATCGTATGTCATATTTATTTCCCATTCACAAAAATACCATTATTTAATCATTCAGATTTATTGTTTTACCAATGTATATGTACTTGTTTATCTTTTTTATTGATCATAAGTCTAGTCTTAGTTTAGTTCATATATCAGAGAACTGATACTGTTAAAAAGAACCATTGTCGAACTCACTCTTACCTTCACTTCTGTTCTTTCCTGTTCAACAGACAATCTACATTCCGTGCCCTCCGATGTGCACGCCGTTGGTTCACATGTATTGGCGTCAGGCTGAGTGTGAGAATCATCTTGTGGCAATGACCACTGCTGTTCACGTGGATCATTCATGTCAACAGCCTCAGACCGTAAACTGTATGTGTAGCTCTTCGGGTTCTGTAGTGGCGCCATTGGTTCAGAGATCATTTTTGTATTGGTCAGCATCAAAGTTTGGCTACAAGAATGAAAGTACACAATGTATATTTGTATTTAGTATCGTTGTAAATATTATTAAGTTATGCACAAATAATTTTTCTTCACAGGGATTTCCCCCTCATTGTTAAACGATTTTATCATAAATGCTTGTTTTTCGTTTGTATCAAGGTATCCATGCATCTTGGATAACCAAACCTACCCCAAGGTAGGCAATAAATATAGTAAGAAATATTACTTAATAAATGTTGCGACACTGCCTCCCTCTTCTGTGTATTGTGTATAGATATGTTGGCTTTCTGCTATAGCACTTTCGATTATGAAGCTCCTATCCATTCCTCTCAGGTAGTAGTATACCTCTGATGTGGATCTTAAAGGTTCCGTCTGATCAATGAAAACAATGAAGTCATACATATATACTCTTGTTTAAAGAAAATATTGAGAAGTCCTTGTGTTGGAATTAAATATAAAAAAAAAAATATACTCTTGTTTATATATTCAATATATCAAATTGCTTTTGTTTCATTATAAGTATGGTTAGATTAAAAGATATTTGCTTTGCCTTACTATCTCATATCGTTCTAGAAAATCAACAAGATAGTCTTATTTTATCAATGAAATAACGATTATACAACAATAGCTACGGTATAAATTTGGAAAAGACCCCGTTTTGAAGACATACTGTAGTATTAGGTTCAAAACAGTTCCCGAATAGCGGTAACGCTCTTAAAAACCTACCCTATCTTTCTCACACTCTGCGCATATGTACTCGTTGAACATGCTGGTGGTGAAGGCAGGCCGGTTCACACATTTGTTGTAGTTCCTAATCTTATTGAGTCGCATAGAAGGGCCTCCCTCCGACGTCATCAACGGCATCCGTCTGTAGAACGTTTCACATTCACCAGCAACACTGGCCTACATGTAATAAAGATACACTTAAATAATATTAGTAAAAGAAAAACTTTTACATTTTAACATGATATTTAATATTTGCCGTGTCTTGCATATATCCGTTTTATATAAAAGCAAAAACGTAATAAACAATGCATATAGAACTTTGAAAAAATGTAGAAAATGAACTGCGTATGTCTATTTCCATTGTATTAACTGGTCTGAGTGTTTCATTGTATTAACTGGTCTGAGTGGTCCATGCGCCTATGTGGCCTTTTAAACGAAAACAAGTTCTGTTTACGAATTATTTTAGATAAGAACATCGAATTCCCAATGTGTAATATGATCAATACCAATGCTTTTCGTACTTATTAGTCGACATACAACATGTATTACCTATAAAGCCAATTACTACATCATTAGCTTGATATTGTGTGGTATATAATAGCTTACTTCAAGAACAGTGTAGAACTCGCTCTGACCAGGTGTAATTTGATTGTCGTAGCTTATTGGGGATGGAGTGTCGAGGCTCTGGCGCTCGTCGAGGTTCACTTCCAGTAAACTGATAAACCCACGTTTGATATCCATAGACCAGTACGGGTCATTTGGGTCACTCTGCAGATCGCTGATGTGGCCACGAATGTAGCTAAAAAACAACGATTGGACACCTAAATTTACAGGAAACTAACTAGTGCGATTATAACATTAATTTCATTTGATATTGGGAAGATACCCGCTTACGAAGAAACAACTTCCTACACAAACTTCACTGAAATAAGTGCCAACCTGAATTTCACCGGCATCGCAAGTTTTTCCGCCATGTCTGCTGTTTCCGGTCCTGTGAGTTGTTGAAACAGGTCTTCCGGAATCTGCTGCCTCGTGGGATCGAGACCATCGATGATATCGTTGATCTTGTACATCTCCACATTTTCCCACTTTCAATAGACAAGTTATAGTTTGTTATTTTCGATTTACATTCTCGATGTGTTAAATTGGCATTTATTTCAAAGATATGAGTATTAAAACATATGATTATCGCCTGATAACAATTGGAAAATAAGTCGGTATTAAATTTGCAGATATTACTATTTACATGACCAATTTTGTATTATGTTATAAATCTAGTTAAATAGTTGATTACAAGAAAAAAGAAATAGGTATCTATTTCAGTTTTAATACGGAGAAATTCTCTAGACTGATAATTTAAACATGTCTATACGCTATCTAGAATGTAGGATAATTTAGATTCGGTTAAGACCCTGGAATTGTTCATTTAAAGAAATAGCATAATAAATATGATACTTACTCTGACCATAACCTTGGCAGCTGTTTCAAACTGTAACTTGGCAGTCGCTTTAAATTTCAGCCCGGAATAAATTTTGCTGCCCCTTGGAATGCCGGTTACCACCTGCGTCTCATAGTCGTACCAGTACTCTTTGTTTGGGGAGTAGGCTAACAGGATAAATATACAGATATCAGGCAAAGTTGGCCAAAACACATTCATTATAAAGGAAGGATAGAACGTATCTATAAAAAATGCTTATAAAACGTTTTGCTTGATAGCAAAATATATTTTACGCTTTGTTGGAAATCGATTTTTACATTGTTTTTTATTTTGCAATGCCTGAGAAAAAGGCAATTTATCAGTGATCATATGTAATATATTTTAGCTTCATATATCAAAATATTATTTTTATATTACAATCAATTAAAATTTTGATAATGCCTAATTAAGCTAGCACAATGATATTAATGGAGGTAAAATAGGGACACATGACAGCGTCAACACAAGAGGACAAATTGGAACTCGAAGCTAATCGTAGCATTGAAGTAAATGGATGATTTAGCACATATATGGAGATAAGAAGAACAGAAATAAGTAAAATAAAACAGACCAGATTTTTGTCGTTGAACACCAGCTGAAAATAACAATAACATGAATGTGTCAGATAATGATACATGGAGATGAAATTATTAAATTTATCTTGGTATCCATTATGAAGAAACGTTTAATTTTCTTTTGCAGAATAAACGATATAAGACATGCCGTCCAAAGCACTGAATAACAATTTATCAAAATCTAGACACCAAACGCTTATTTATAATTCTGTGAGCTAGTATAATACAAAATTTAAAAAACAATATGCGTCAACCGAAACAAAAATTTGCTTTATAAAACATTTCAGAAATGTGAAATTTGTGAAATATTGATTTCTGTAATCCGGCGATATATATTCCCACAAAACATTGCATAGAACACATTTTTTACAGTCGATGAGAATTAGTTACAAATTGAATAGCTAAAATAAGTGCAATTAATTTGAGTTCCGTGTTCCTATTTAAACATAAAAAACAAAATATACGAAAAAGTATTTAGCGCTGATATCGTTTTGATATGTTCTATAGAATAATTGAAATAAACCAGCAAACTTACCAGACAGCCCCAGGGCCACCGCCAGCAACAGAAATCGGAACATGATGAACAGTCCGACTTGATTTAGGCACTATTCACTGTAGCTAGTCCTGATATATATAACGTAGAATATGTTTACAGAGATATTCACAATTTCCCACGGTAAAGAAAAGAGTAGTACTTATCTAGCTTAGTCCTGGAATTAGTAGATTGGTACATTTCCATCACGATGAAGTGGTATGATGGGCACTGTGACCCCATATGTCATAACAGTTCTTAGCAACAATGTTTGTAGTTAACTCATAACCAAAAACAAACAAGTTTTAAAACGCTGATAATGTGTTTGGTAGACATAAAATAAAGGTCAAAATAACGCCATGTTTGATATTTTGCACACATGTAACTGATATATAGGAATAATACACTTACTGTCGTATTTCAGCTCGATCAAGAGTAACACAACACAAATTTAACGTCAATGTAAAGTATACCTTTATCACAAACCTAAATGAAAGATAGTATGGGGTTGATCGAAGTGAAAGATATAATTATTATAATGTATGTCAATATTAGAGGATTTCACACCATTTTTGTATGTATTTGTTTTTCCTCTGATAAAATATTAAATAATACGGGGATATTCAGCACTTTCCGGTCATTACATGTTTTTTTGTTGTATTTTCAAAAGTTAAATGCATAACGGAAATATCGGGTAAGTCCAATATATGATTTAAATAAACTCAATAGGTATATCCTGCATTCTCTGATTGAATTAATTTCCCCGCGTAAAAATGTAATGTTCAGTTTGTTTAACAAACGTTATGAAAAGATCTTTTATTCGACCGCAATCGTTTCCTGATCCACAATCACATTTGTGTCAATAATGATGGTTCGAAATGTTTCCCTTTTAAATATTAAAATCTAGAAATTTCTTTGACATTTTAGATCACGGATTATTAAAAAAATATCCAGTCATACGAGTCTTGCTTATTTGATTGATTGATTGAAATCTGTGTAGTGAAATTGGAAAAGTTGAATATGACTTAGCTGATCACTTATCATTGCGGCTATCTTGGAATTCAGATGGCTCTAAGAATGACGCGTTTAAAGATTCAAGAGATGATCATTTGTCCTACTTTCGGTTTAGACCCCATTTAGTAAAATCTTTCTTGGTAGAGATGATTGATATTTATCTTAGATAGCAGCATTCTTATCAGCTCTTACTGAACGTTGACCTCTGGTGAGCTCCCAAACTTGATATTTCAACTCTGAATAATACAGAAAAAAATACTGTCCCCCACTTCCAAATATGGAATCATTGAAGATGAACTTTTTGACACGCCAGACTAGAAATGACAGGTAAGCCAAGTACTTATAATAGCCTCTCTAGAACTTATAGCTGAGTGTTTCCCTTATCATTAGCCCTAAAGGAATATAAAAGTACGTCATCTTATCATGCTTAATATGAATTAAACTTTGTGACACTTGTGTAACCGCATTAGACTGATGAACCCAGTACCCACATTAGCCCTTGGCATTGCCACTTTCATTACCCTACGGATCTGATCATTCACGCAATATCGACTGTGAAAAGAAGGACAAATTAGAGAAGAAGACACATGTAATTGTTTAAGTCCAATACCAATATCAGCCGATTTTGAACTATGACCCCTGGAAATAGCGCCTTTTATAAGTCAAAAGAAGCAAAGTTTAAAGCATCGCTCGGTCATGCTAAAGCATCGTTCAGTCATGCTAAATATGAAATATCAACTACGTGTACATTTGTATGTGACACATGTTGCTCCATATAAGATCATAAAAGTGAAATACACATATATATAAGTATATGTTGAACATTTGACAGTCGGCACTAGCCCAAACTTGACATTTGCCCTCAAAACATAGAAAAGCACGCTGATGCGTCTTACGTGTACTATACCAACTTTCAAAACATGTCCGAAGGTAAATCATATTCGATAAAACGTGTAGGAGACAACTGAGTTTTAAGAATGAACCACCCGGCTTGTTTTCCGACAAAAAACCCCAAAGAAAGTAATGTCGCACCTTCAGACCAACATCTTTCAGCAAAACTTAATTCTTCTAATTACTACCATTTACGATATTTAGAAAGTAATAAAATCAGCTTGTTAAATTACTTTAATATGTCCCGTTAGAGTATTCGCAATATTTTTTATATTATGCACGAAACTATAATATGTGTATGGCTTAAAACCAAAAGTGTACATTACGATAGCACATTGGTCAATGGTGTTTCAATCATCTTTAGTGTACATTACGATAGCACATTTGTCAATGGTGTTTCAATCATCTTTAGTTGAGAGAACGCTACTACGTTTCACTTCACCTAACCTATTATCATTAAATTTATTTTAAATTGCCCATCTTTGGTAAATACTATCCAAAGTGTAACATAACAATCTCTCTGGCTGGATGTTTGGCTAATACTTTTAAACGATGTGTACATATTAAAATATCATCCGCATTTTGAATTATTGTGATTTTAATTACATACATCAAAGGAACCTTAAACAGCAAAATAGTTGAGGTGTGAACATAAAATCCTTGTACAACTGTTTGTCGGTTTTAATGCTGGGGTTCATTACAATGTCCTAACATTTCATCATAGTTCCAATCACATTACTTGAAACATGAACAATAGAACAACATCCATAATATAATGGAAGCGATAAAACAGATCTGGTGACATGAGAGTACATTAATATATGACCTAGACAAGGTTTAAGACGACACATCGACAGTCAGTTCGACCAGAATCGTCGTGTATTTGCTACTAGGGTCGTAATACGGAGAGTGAAATCATGGTGTCCAGTCTCGGAAACAACTAGTTAATAGAAGTGCAATATCTCGATTAATGTACAATATCTGGGAAATGTATCCTTTGGTCGATAAGCCTCTTTCGTCTCGGAGTTCACAATCAAAACTACCAATAATATCGTTTCAGTTTTAGTATGTCTATAAATAACATTTTTGCAGGTTAAAACCAAAAGCGTTAAGTCTGCCTGTATGTGTTTTCAGAATAAAAATGATTAAATCGTGTTACTTATTAATAACCTACACTACAACCACGACATGGTATATGTCTGGTTCTTTGACGATATTGCAGATAGGATTTATATTTCATTTTCTGCGTTATACTATATTATCAAATAATCACAATTTATTATTCATGGTCATGTGTCCAATTTGTTTGAATAAATGTATAAGGTACAGATGTATAGTAAACTTATTCTAGTGGTCGATATGCATGTAGTTGGAACTGCATATTAAAAGAAAGTCGTGTGTGAAACAGTTTCGTACACACATTGTCTAAATAAAAAGAACTAATGATAAAAAATAACACGAGAATGTTTATTTAACTGTATCAAACGTGTGACATTAAATACTGTCAAACAGTAGAACCCGTGTCCAAAATAGAATTAGTTTGATTCGTTGTGCCTTCGTTTCGCACAGAATTTTCTGGTTTGTATCAGAAGATGCATGTGATATACAGATAATTAACCATTAATGTAATATTATCAGTATGTTTATAACGACTGTGATATTCGGAATAAGTGTAGCTTGACATCAAAGTTTCACAAATGTAATAAACATTATTCTTGAACAGTGTTTATATCGGTGTACAACAGCCTTAGGGCCTCCCTGAATTCTCCCAGCTCTGCTTCTGTTTTCGCAATCCTTTCTATACCAGCGAAGAGTTCCTGGAGTTTTTCTTGAACCTCTTTTCCTTGCTTTTCGTAAACATGAAACATTCTCTCTTCGACCATAGCACATGTCCTCCGAACCTAGAACACATGTACATATCTCCATAATACAGAGTCTCTGTATCCAGATCCCATGCATATGTACACAAAATTTTCATAATCTTCGGACCTCAAACACAGATGCATTGTAAATGTCTACATCATACAGAATATCTACATCGCACATAACCAACGGACCTAGAATACAAATATAATTCTAAATAGCACCTACTCTCCGGAACAAGAATGAATATTAGCAGTTCTACATTTATACACCACGGTCTTTGGATCTACATGTACGTATGTTTCTACAACACAAAATAATCTCTGAACTTCTGATATAGGGGTTTCCTGTATTTTTCAACGTGTGATTCTTTTAACAAAATATAATGTCCCATTTTTTGTCAGCCTTAAACACTGGTAAAACTCTTACATGTGGACACGCTTAGCATTTTGAACGTTCAACAAGTCAACACGGAATCTCTAACAGATCGATCTCTAGTTCTCTTACACTCACCCAATAGTCGGACCCAGAGCAGGTTAATAAAACTATGACACTGTGGACCTAGAACTCGTTAATCTCTTCTTTCAACATAAACACCGGCCCTATCATACAAGCAAACTTTACAAAACGTGGAATAGCCGGAATTAGAACAAGAAAAAAATCAAAATGATCTGTATACCTATCACACAGGTAATATCTATACTTTCATACAGGATATCCGGACTAGGAAGAAGTAAATTTATACGTTTCAATCAATTTTTGGACCAATCATACATGTACATGTAAATCTCTACATCACACAGACTATCCGGTCTGTATGCGCATCAATCTCAGTAACTAAAATATGTATTCATAGAACAAAATATTGATTAGATATAGAGGCAGCATTGGCCGATTGGTTAAGGCGTCTGACATCATCCTGCCACTAGTGGTTATGTAAATGTTGTAACCAGACGGAACCCATACTGGCTCGGATTGAAACCTCCCTTCAGAAGATACAAACAGAGACTAGAATGATCAGAATAGAAACAAAATCAGCGAAGTAGAAGAATCTCAAGATACTAAAATTAAAGAACGCCTAACTGACATGAGATAATCTGTTATGGAAGAACTCAAAAAGGACCTGGTTGATAACAGAACCAAAGAGCTGCATAATCGTAAGCAAAGAGAGACAAATATAGTTCTTTTTAACTTCCCAGAATCGAAGAAAGAAATAGGATTAGAATGAAAATTAGAGGACGACAATCACCTTAGAAGGCTGGCATCACAATTTGGTGTTGAAGATCTAGAAATTGCGACTCAATTCCGAATTGGCAAACAATCCACAGGAAAAGATCGTCCACTAAAGTTCGTTCTAGGTAGCAAAAGCCAACGTAAAACATTACTAGAAAAAGCACCATCAATAAAAACAAAGGTCAATCCCAGATTCAAATCTGTTATCCTCACCATGGATCTTACAGATCACCAGCGAGAGGAAAGGAGGAAAAAAAGAGGCCTGACAATCCCCTCCATAAGTAACAAGGTAGAAGTAAAAAAAAAACGGACCTAAAAGTAAGAGATCCGTAGATGAGGAAATGGAAACAACCAACCAAGTACCTCCTGGTCCCATACCACTATCTCAAGAACTGTCCCATTTGATGAGTGAGTCGATATACGAACATGGGGAGGATACTACTCTGGTTTACAGCCATCGCACTGTTGTTGACAGTCCTCCTACATCTCCTGACATTAACAGAGGCTAGGATACTTGTTTTAACGAGGATTTTAAAACTGTAAATAGCGGAAATTTTAGCCATCTTGAAACACAGAATTACCTCCATATTTTGTATTCAAATGTTGATGCATTGACACAGAACAAGATATCTGAACTTGAGGAATTCGTCACTAACAACAACCCTGACATCATAGCCTTGACAGAGATCCATTATGAAAATCAAGGTATGACAAATAATTCAGACTTCTACAATATACCAGGATACGACACCCACCTGGACATGTCCTAACAACAAGAGAGGTGTGATCATATTCACCAAATCTAAACTCCGAGCAATAACAGTCCAACCAAAGGTTTCAGAACAAGTTTGGTACAGTATTGATCTCGAGAAAAGCGACAAGCTCCTAATTGGAACCACCTATAGAAGTCCAAACAGTGACATTGATAACTCGATTGCTTTACACGATGTGATTGCCAGTATGAGCCGTCAACGTCATAGTCACATAGTCATCATGGGGGACTTCAACTATAAGGACATCAATTGGACAACAAATACAACATCAGTATCGGATCAACACCTGACTAAAAAAAATTGAATGCATAAGAAATGAATTCCTCTACCAACATGTTACCAAACCTACCAGATTTAGAGAAGGTAATCAACCCACCACCTTAGATCTTGTTTTTACCAATGAGGAGGGAATGCTAGATGAAATAAACTATGAACCCGGACTTGGACTAAGCGATCATCTCTCTCTGAACACCGAGCTTTGTACTTTATACTGAAAATGTTACCAGCAAAGTAGAGAGATTGAATTACCATAAAGGCAACTACACAAAGATCAGAGAGAAAATAAAATATGTCAACTGGACAGATCTGCTGTCTGTCAAAAATATAGATGAGTCATGGAAGGTCTTTGCAGAGACTATATCAATGATCGTAAAAGAACACATACCAGTGAGCAATATCAAAAACGACAAGTTTACTCATAGAACACCACTTGACAGGGAGGCAGTCCATGCTATAAGGCACAAGAAAACCAGATGGAAACAGTATCTTCATTGTAATGACGAAAAGAACTGGAATGGGTACAAAAAAGCTAGAAACCAATTAGAACATCAAAATACAATTATGAAAGGAGCATGGCCATGGACATCAAATCAAATAGTAAGACATTCTGGAAATACATTAGGTCAAAGACCAAGACTAAAAGTACAATTGGAAATATTAAAGACGCAATGGTGACTTGACATCTAACAATAAAGACAAAGCTGAGATCATGAACGACTACTTCACAAGTGTTTTCACTGTCGAAACAAATGTCCCACTACCAGTATTCAATACAAGAAACTATCGGGAACCAATCAACGACATTGACATTACGGAAGACAAAATACTATCGATCGGCAATAAGGCTACTAAATCCAAATAAGTCAGGAGGTCCCGACCTATTCCATCCGAAACTACTATAAGAGTCGGCTAACGAGCTTGTCACACCAATTCATCATCTTCTTAAAAAATCTTTAAATGAGGGAAAACTACCCCAGGATTGGAAAAATGCCATTGTGACCCCCATACATAAATCCGGATCAAAAACTAGTCCAGAAAACTACAGACCAATCAGTTTAACATCAGTTCTTGCAAAAATTAATGTAAAGAATTTCAAGGATGCCATTGTGGATCATATGGACACCAACAATCTTTTCTCCGAGTGTCAACATGGATTCACCAAGGAAAAATCTTGTGTTACCCAGCTGCTAGAGGTTCTTGAAGATTAGTCAGAACAAATAACAATGGACATCAGATAAATGCTATATGCATTGACTTTAGCAAGGCATTTGACATTGTCCCTCAAAAGCGCCTGCTGTTTAAATTGGAACAATATGGGATCCAGGGGAAGCTACTCCAATGGATAAAGATAAATCTAAGCGGGATGAAGCAAAAGGTGGTGATCAATGGTAAGATATCCAATACCAGGAATGTAACTAGTGGGGTCCCACAAGGGAGTGTCCTAGGACCTCTTTTATTCCTGATATTTGTAAACGATATGCCAGAAGTCTTACAATCCATAATTAAATTATTTGCTGATGATACAAAGCTATACTCCAGAATTTCGAACGCCGATGATAGGAACATATGGTCTCCAATGTTCAAACATATGGTCTCCAATGTTCAAAAAACATAAATTTGCCATTGAGATGTCCAACGCAGAGCAACAAGACGCCTACCATTCCTAAAAGGAAAATCCTACAGTAAGAGACTTTGTACGCTGTGCCTCTCCAGTTTAGAATATAGAAGATTGAGAGGAGACGTCGTACAATTTTTTTAAATCAAATATTACCTTGACATTTTGGACAAGGACAAAATTATTAAAATGGCAACATTGGTTACAACAAGAGGAAATTCCAAAAAGCTTTTCAAGAGAAGGATGAGGCTCAAGGTCACCAAGAACCTGTACAGTAGTAGGGTCGTGGAGGTGTGGAACTCTCTCCCAAATAAAGTTGTAGAAGCCCCCTCCCTAAATAGTTTTAAATCTCGGTTAAACAATCACTGGCGTCATCATCACCAAAACTGTGTACCAACATGTTATTCACAACCGAACAGGGTTAGAGAACAGTATATAGATGCGTCCCAAGAAGCTGGACCAGCTTACATCGACGTCGACACTATATGAAAACTACATGAAAACATGTACACTAGCCCTCCACCACTGGGTCGCGAGTTCGAGGCCTACATGAGGCAGTCACCAGGTGATCGGTGAGGTTTTTTCTCCGGGTACGACCGGCTTTCCTCCACCGTCAAAACATGACACGTTTTTAAATTACCATAACTGTTAATAGGACGTAAAAAACAAACAAACCAAAACACGTTTAGATATAGTCCACACAATCACTCCACAAACCCACTGAATCCTCAAACCTAGAACACAAGTTTATTATTTTCCTTGCATTCAGAATACAATCTAAAACAATGCTCTATAAACAGCTTACCAAGTTAAATTGAATGGAGAAAGTTGAGCTTAATTTTATTTTATTATACACAATGGGCACCTCTTACCAATTTCATAATGGTAGTTGTTATTTCCTGCTTAACGCTCAGCATTTAGGGGAATGGCAACAACTGGTTCACACGTTGTCAGTATAATGTGACCGGGCGAAATGCTGTGCTTGGTGCCTTCGGCATGGCATTTCAGTGAAATAGCACTATACAGTCGGCATCAGATCCGCGCTATCACATGGAGGCAAGCACACCAACATACTAGATGTATCCTGCACACACACACACACACACACACACACGTAAACACGCATATATTACACACATGGGGACACGTCCTAAAATGACCTTCTCTGACTGTTAATAGGACGTAAAACAAATTAAAACCAAACCAACATATGGGTACAACAAGGTCTCGCATTTCCTTTCATCGACAGGTGTTAGACCAATAAGTGCATTACCTGTAATTCCAGAGCCTTTTTAAAGTCTTCTATGAGTTGTGTGTCTTGTTTCCTTTTTTGGTTGAGGTCGTCTATGAGTGCATTCGCTGCCGATGTGATATCCTCTCGTGTCATTTCATTTGATGCTCCAATAGGTGTGTGGCTGTATACAGATGAGCTTCCTTGTTCACTAATTTCATTCACCGACACCATCGTTGCTCCTTCGATGTCGTTGCTGAAATATTACATTGCATGTGTTCTTTTAATATATGGCTGCGATATTAAATTAGACAACTAGATTAATCTACAGTAACATGCATACCTAGTCCCAATCAAACGAACATCAATTGGAAATGTTTTCAAGAAAAAAACCACAAACACCATTCTGAACAAAACACCAATAGGGAAGAAATCTATACAAATTAACGGAAACTCGAGTCGCTGTTAAAGATTACCTTTGCTTCAGGAGTTCTTGGTTTATACATTCCGGAGTTTCAGCATTTTCGGAAATACTTTGTGTGTGAATTGAATTTCCATCCGGTGAAAACATTTTATCGGTAAGGAAGTTCTAAATCAGAAACAAACAAAAATTACAACAAAAAGCGATACGAGTGTCATTCACTTTCGGTCTTGGTGATGTTAATATGAAGAATTTAATGGACAGGAAACGTTTCAGTACCTTCAAATGATTTTTTAATCAAATTTAAAGACATAATTTGTTAAAGAAACTATGCTCTATGCTTCATTAGTATGTTATAAGCTATGTAGCGTATGTCTAAATCATAAACATGTGTTTTTGATTATGAATTACAATATCAAATAAAATCTTATAACGTTTACGGTATCTTACCGTACTACAGCTGTTAAATAACGAGTTGAAGTAAAACCCCAAAACCGAATTGAATAATAAAACGAATCCTGTTTGTTTGAAATATAACACTAAGTCTTGTGGTTAACATTTGAGATCATCATTCGAATAACCGTAACAAACAGGCCAAAAACTTTCTTAGTGCAATAGCTGGGTACTGTGCTCTTAGCAGACGATGCAAATAAGTAAAAATATCATGACATCTCATATCCGGCCGGTTAATTTCCAAATGGCTGTAAATTCCAATGAAATGCTTTCACATATATTATTATCAAATGCTTTAAATTCTGTATCCACCGCGTGGTGTATAAAACCATTTACCCTTTGTTAACAGTAAATTGAAGAATGTGTCGCTGCATAAATCGGAAATTACCGCCTGACTGACATACCTTGAACCCGTCCAAAGGGAATCTATTTTTATACACGTCTGTTTTATCGCAGTTTCTGACAATCATTTATTTCTAACTTACATAAAGACAGAAATACTACAATAAACATTTTGTTTCTAATGCAAAAGAATATCGTTAATGCCAGTTTTGTTACTATATATATCAACCTTGCCAGTCATTCATATCCTTATATACCCTGTCTTGTTTTATGGAATGGTCTCGATAAACATTGCCAGAGGGCGCACAATATCCACTCGATACATTTCTAGACGTATGCTTCAATCACCAGCTAAAACCTAGAGAACGTTAGTCAAGATCGGTTAATTGCCCTCCTGACACAGAAGAGTTGTGATTCAGACTTCAGAGGGTCGACGAGTTATTAATTGACAAAGAATATATTCAAAGACATGGCGGGTGTCGTTTTGGAGACATTGAGTTGGAGAAAACTCATAACATTGGGAGTTTTTCTTTTGGTCCTTCAGATCGTCTTCTTTCTGATCGGTGCTGTAATCGGTAAGTAACGTTTACGTTACAGCCAGACAGTTATGTCGCATCAGCTACATCAATAACATAGGTCTGCCGATCCCAGACTCCTGTTCGCACTCTTTGACTTATATCTGCTGTATGTTTCTACCGGCATAACATTACACACAACATTTACCCATTCACTTACAGGCTTGTATGTGAATGTTATTTTATACAACACCGCGTTTAGTCCTGGTTTCATAGGAATACTTTGGATACACAGACATGCACAGGGACCTGGACATTCAGATGTACAGGAATAAAACTCAAGACATCAAGAAATGTGTCACAATACATACTGGATCTATTTTGTAAGGTCCATATATCGCACATTCTCACTTATTATGCGCCATTAACTGAAAACCATGTCGCATGATCCTTTCTCAACCTGATAATATAGCCTTTACGTCAAATCTTTAGTTCACTGTTTCAACATTGATATATTTTCCCAAAACAAACAAAAAACTTAATGAAAACGTGAAAAAAAATAATCATGAATTGTACATGAACATGCCAATATACTTGAATAACCGTTGTTGTGTCACTTTTTCTGATACAAAAAAGCTTTGCATTTTTTTCAGTTTAGTTCAAATTCGTTTTCTTTCATAGTTTAAGTTTACTTATGTCTAAACAAGACTTAATTAATTCAATATCAATAATTGAAGGTAATATATGATTTTGTTGGCGATTACCGGCAGCACGATTTACCCCAAAAACACACAAAAACATTAAATATATATAGATATTTATATTTCTTCTACCTGACATTATGTAACATAATGATGTTTGGGACCGATGATGTTTCCCGTTAATTGGATAGTTATAGTGACACGAGTAATATTAACTATACAAATTTGAGTTACTTCCCCTGCAAACAAGTTTACCTTTGCCTTTTCACAGAAGATCAATATTTTTCATATAAAATGTTGTCTTTTTCCCTCTTTCCACATTTATATGTGACATAGGTAGCCTATGTTTATTTTGTATTTGATAAGTGCATTTGCTCTAAAGAGGATATTGTTTGATGTGTTAAATTTGTACTTGTTTTTTTTAAGTTTCTGATTTCAATCTATTTTGCGTTTGCAAAAAATTAGGTTACTACATTATAATATTAACTGAATACTATTTAAGTGTCGTCTGTGGTTTTATCTGGATGTTTTTTTGGTGTTTTGGGGTCTGTTTAGGTCTTTTTGGTTAAATCGTGCCACTCGCGATTATCTACTGTCGCAAAATGTCTTGCCAGATACGTTACTTAACAAAACACCCATAATACAAGCCTTTATTAACGGTGAATACAAGTTTAAAATATCTTGGTATATTGACTAAAGGTAAGTCTTATATTGCATATAAATCCATCAACATTAATTCGGTAAGCATATATCAAGTATCCTGCATGAAACTCAGTAATCGTGGTTTTGTCCGTTAAAATTTCAACAGATATGTGACCTGTATTTGTCTAATAAAACTGTACTCATTGTTGTGGGAAAATTTGTATAGTTTACACGATAAAACTGAAGTATTCCATTGTTGTACAATGCGTAAATCTAAAAAGAATACTGAGTGAATGGTTCTATAATCGTAGCTTCTAAAACATAGATACTGTAGATTCTAGTTTTGTTTCGTGAGATTTTGATGGGAACAATGTAATTAGACCTTTTACAAACTGTACTTGCATCAGCTGGCTGAGTTTTCAAGGGGAATATCTTCAAATCTTAGGAAATCCTAAGGCATGAGTGGTTAATAATTGTCAATTTGTGTACGCTATTGTAGATGTTCAATTAGATTTATCTTCTATAATTTGATTTTAACGGATTAATTAGTGAAAAGCTATGAAAGGAAAGGGTGGGATACATCATGATCACTTGGAAAACATGTTACCTATATGTTCACTTTGGTCACGTTTCTGTTTTGGTGCATTATTTTCCCAGATAAAATTTGAGATAAATGTATATATTTGATCACGAGTGACCATTACATCAATTTAAAGTTTGTTTTAGTGATAATGTTAAGTAACACTTGACCAGTATAATGTGTAATGTATCTGTTGGAATGGTAATGTAATGTATCTGTTGGAATGGTATTGTAACATATCTGTTTAAGTTTTGAATGGGAGTAACGATTGAAAAAAACAACTTTTTGCAGTATAAGCCGACTTAAGCTTGCATTGATGTATAATTATGTCTGGATCTTTTGTGAAGTTGTTTTCAATATAAAAGTTTGTTATAAAGTTACTTGTTGAAATTATGTGAACAGATATGTTACAAGAACAAATTCTATCCTTGTTTTAATGCAACATATTATAATGGGGTTTTTCTTCTGAAATATAGATAAAATTAAAAGTAGTTAGTCAAAACAAGTAAAAATAACATACCATTTTGATTGGAGATGATGTAAAATTTGGCAAAGTAACATATATACCTTACAATATAATACTCAACTTTAAGAGGTAGTATCTTTGTTGTGTTGCTGAAGAACAAATGTTTTGTACTGTAGATATGCATTAGTCGATGAAAAAATACTTTTCCAAAACTAAACCCATGAAAAATGTTCAAAAGTTTGAAGTTCAAAGAATGAAATAAATATTGTTTTTGAATGATTTCCATTTGAAACCAAATGCCTATTTTCATATACACGTTCAGCAAAAACTTTAAATGGTGTTAGCATTTGTTGCAGAAATGTCTGTTTTTATGACACAGTCTATCTTGGATTCGCGAATGTGGTAAATTTGAAGAAGAAAATCATTTTGTTTCGAAGATGTACGTATATCGTACTGGATCCCGTATCCGTTTTGATTTACTGACAATGACCTGTTGGGAAATGGACACTTCTGTTTTCAAAACTGGTGAATAGTAAACAGAACCCTTTCGGTTTATTATCCTACATATGTTACTCTTTTGAGAAAAGATAACAAAATGTTCGCAATGCAAAGTTCATTTTCCACTTTTACTGTATATCTATTGGCGCATGATATGTGAGAATGAACGATATGCATGCAAATGTGAAAATTTGATCATGTTAGGGGTGTAGTGTTCAAAGAGACATATATTCATGTATAACTACATGGCTTTATGTGCCTCTAGTGTCCATAGGGGCCTGTTCAGATGCAATTAAGGTACAATACTGATGTATGCAGAGCCAGAGTACTAAATCAGAAGTGTGCACACATCAAAAGGAATTATGCTCAATTCATGATAGTTAATACTATTTCTAATGTACATGTGTTTTGTATGCTTATTAATATTTGAATGTTGATAGTGGTTGGAGGAAGGTGAGTAACTTGATCACAGGAGATACATGTATAGTAGGAGCAGAAAAATGCATGGCTAGACCGGAATTAAAACCTTCCGATCTATAGACTCACACTCTACCAATTGAGCTATCTGGTCAATAGAATATAGCGAACAACCCTGTCAAGTTCCACTACATTCATCCCTCCTTTTTCTTATTCTGTGCCCTGGAAGACAACACTATTTACAACCCAGGTTTGCGTATCCCCTTATGTATTACCAAGCATCCATCCAGACCCTCCGAACTCTAGACAGACCCTCTGCCAATTGAGCTATCAGGTCGCCTGTGAATGACCCAGTAAAGTTCCACTACAAGGTGCATATTGCTTTGGCCAGATTTGTTGTTTTTGACAGCTGTATCTTCCTGTGCCTTATTTAGTTATAATTACTTGTGATTTAAATTTTGACCAATTTCACTCAAATTTGGTATGTATAGAAATCTAGTTATTTGCATGCATTTTAGTGCTGAATGTGTAATAAATCTGTGTTTGTTTGTATCATTACAGCACCTGCACCAACTCATGTGATATCTATGACTGGCACTAGATGTTATGATAGAAATGCTTATAGAGATAAAAACAAATGGTTTCCTCCCCGTGGGAAAGACGCTTGTGAAAGTCTCTACAGCTTGGATCCAAGTGACAAAAGGATTCAAGATGAGGGGATTACAGCAGAACAAGTCGTCTTCTCGTTTTGGATCCCATGGCCAAGAGATGGACATCAACTGAAAATGCATCGCTATTTCCAGTTCCTTCTTGCTGTCCTGCAGCTAGACATTGAATACGACCCTCAGGTCCCTCTAGGTACATATATATATATATATACATGCTGGCAAAATTTGATATTTACATATCAGCTATATGTGTTTGAGATAAACCAAACCAACCAACTCATAATGTTTTAGTTAAGCAGGGAGAATGCTAGATGGGGCCACTGACCCCTAAAACTGAAATTGACCCCTCCATGTTCCAATTTTCTTTTAATTTTACAAAGAAATTATTAGAATGGCACCACTTAATTTTGATACATGTTTTGACTAAAAATTGCTGAAATGCTCAATTGCTCTTAAATTCGTGGATTTTCTCTGAAATTGAAGGTACAGTGTATAATATATATATACAAAGAACTGTTAGAAAGGAATATTTTTTCATTGCATACTGTTCAGGTCTTTCTATAATAGAGTGAGAATAATCAGAAACCAATCATGTCATAATATCATATTTTTTTCTGGAAATACCCAAATGGTTTCTGATTGATGTTTGTCTAGCCAGATGGAAATGATGACCCTGGGAAAAATTGACCTTATTTCCACAAGTATGACTGTTCCACCATTTGGTAAATATGGTGTTTAATGGTGTATCATGAGCCAACAGAAACTAAATAGAATAATAGAATAATAAAACCGAATTTTCTTAATCCATAGCATTAGCACTGTCTTCATCATCCATCAGAAGCGTGCTACTTGTCCAGAACAGAATATACCAGTACCATAGGTGTCAACCTCTGAAACCTCCAGTGAGGGAGATCTCCCTCATTCCCCATTTCCAATGAGGGAGAAAGTGTGTAAAATGCAACTGAAACTGATTTGCTCAATTTATCTTTCCCTTTTTATGTATCAAAGGGCCCTGAGAAGGAATTGGGAAAATATCATCAGCATTTGGCAAAATTTGGGAAATATTATCAGTGTTTCCACATGTACAGGTTTGAGAAAATATCATAAGTTTGGAAAAAAAAACCTGCAATGTGATAAGCAAAAAGTTTTCCTCTAGCTGATTCTTACAGTGAAACATATTTAGCAATAAATAAACACTTCAATTTTCAGTGTTTTGGTTTATTCAAATTTTCCTTGTTTATGTATTTTGAATGTTCCTTCACGGATGGTAATACTAAGAGTGTTGCACATAGAATGACTGGAAACTTGTGTAAACATTGTTTTTAATCTGATTGGGAAAATAAAGGCTAAATTTGGGAAATGCTTGGTAATATTTCAATTGGGAATGGGTCCCTGTACGTACCGGACCCTACAAACACCTGGCAAAAACCCTGATCTAAAATGAAGCATACACCTCACTTGATATATCATGGATTTCTGTTGACAGTGGATAAAGCCAAGTTACAGTTGGACATTCGCCTTGGAGCTGGCAACACGATGGACAATGGAAACTGGACACTGTTGGCATCTTCAATTGAGGACAGAAATATTGAATGTGACCTCACTAAAACGGTGAATTTCTTCATACGTCATTGACAAACATTTCTAGACCCGTTGTATCAATCTATATTTCATGTTCTGTTATTTTCTGTCTTTCTACTAATGTAATACTAGCGATTTTATCAGCAAAGACTTGTTTCATAATTCTCATATATATGAAATGGAAATTTATTTTTTCAAAGATGCTGAAATATTTTTTACATAAACTTATTATACAGATAACAGTCTTTCTTGCTTCATTTATGAAACAAAAAATAGATTTCTAAGTTGAAATTTGTATGCTGTTTCCTGTTGAGGATGACATAAGTTTAAATTGAAGCTCTGATTCAAATGCCCCAGAGATTGAAATAACTAAAGAATTGATAAAAGGAGTATTGGTAAGCAGGTTTAATACATTACACAATACTGGTGTAGAAATCGTGTTGGTGACTCATTGTTTCAGCTGGATAAGGGTGACATCTACGACTGTGACCTACTTCAGCTGTTCGAGCTTGGCAGTGTTTTCTACCACTACTATCTTGTCAACATCCGCCTGCCAACATTCCCACTAAAGGGCGTTAACATGGATATTGGCAAAATCGGAGACATGCACATGCACGTAAGTCTTAAGATAGTCATGTTTGTTTATAAGTATTAAAGATATTCTAAAATGATACAGTCAAACTTTCAAAAATTGAGCGTCGACGAAGATTCTCAATGTGTCAAACTTTCAGCTAAGTCTGGAGAGTTTTCTTTATATAACACTATTAAAATCCTATTCATGAATCAAACTTTTATGAGTCGAGCTTTTAGCAGTCAAATTTCTTGCTGTTTCGAAGTAACCAAGGTCTGCTCATTATGAAAACTTTGAAAATTACAACTTATAAATAGAAATGAAGAAAACTTATTTGTACATTCAGTGAAATGTGACCATAGACATATGTAACAGAAAATGTCATGTACAACTGAATGTTTGTGGTACACCCTGTTGTGAACAGACAAAGGAACTTGTGAGTTTCTTTAAAGATATGGTTGTTAGCTCTATAATTGTTTTTCATCTCTCCAAATCACTACAACAAGACATTATGTTTGATGTTCAATATTTGTGAATCAAAGTCCCCATGATTCAAATTTTTCAAGATGGTCCCATAATGTTCGATACATCAGAGTTTGACTGTATGTGATATAAGTATTTCAAAATAGGTTCATTTTCTGGAAAAAAAATGTGTTGCACACCCTGATGTCTTCATTTGACTCGAGACAAATTCAAAGTCAAGGAGAAAAGGTCCTAACGTATAAGATACTTCATTGCACGTCAGATACAGGGTAAGACTAACTATTTCTACTTAGTAGTCCACAGGACTAGTTGAATAGATTATTTGCCAGTTCTATACATCAATGAATTAACATCTATACTAGTCCAAGATTTCCTTCAGGGAACATTTCGGGCATGAAACATAAAAGTCTGAATCGACTGTAGGAAATAGAATACTGATATAAAGGTATAGTGAAGTTTTAGAGAGAAAAATTGACAATATCTGTATTTTAGCAGTTTCCCGAAAGGAATATTCTTATTATTTTAATCTTTCTATCAATGATATTGTGATAACACTTTTTGCTAGTCCAAAGGACCAGTTAAGTTAGATGAACCACTGGCCCTGACTAGTATCTACTATACTCTCTGACTGACTACAGGACTACAGACCAGCGTTTGTGTTGAACCCCGAGATATAGCTTACATTACATTATAACCTACAACATCTGACATAGTTTAAATGATATTATATATATATATAGATAGATTATCTCCCTTACATTGTTAATTGTGAAGAATTTTCTAGTGGTAAACATTTTTCTGCAGGGTATTCACCAGAATGGAGGTTTTAGTTTTGTGTGGTTCAGTTTGAAGACAGCCATGTTTCCCATGGTTCTTGGTGTTCTGATCTGGTTCTGGAGAAGAATCACACAGATGTGTCGACCTGCAAATCTTCTTGAGAGGTATGTCTTAATTATGTTAACTACAACAACACCAGATATTATAGAGAGGTATGTCTCTCTCCTGTTAATGTATTACACAGCCAAATATTATAGAGAGATATTTCTCCCAACATTTTGATATACATGTAGAGCACTTTCGCTCTCTGCACCCTGGAATATGTCATAGCATATGAAAATTGAAGGAGGCAAGAAGACTGTGTGATCCTTTGATGTACATCAAAAGAATCTCGGCTGGTAAAGGTAAAATTGAAGGGCTTTAAAGGTGTTGGTCTCTGTGATCTTCAAAGGACAGTGTATCAGTCTAGTGATTGGTCAGGTTTATTTTACCTGAGACCAATCAAATAGCTATAGCTAGCCGCATGCTTTCAGTTTTGCTATGACATATATTGCAGAGATGCAGAGAGCGTAAGTGAGCGTGACACATGAAGTATTGAGGATGCAAACAGTTTAGAGAGCTATGTATATCTGATGATGAAAGGAAACATTCAATAGTAACATACTAAGGTGACCATGAAGGCCCACTGGCTTTTTCTTTGAGCAAAAACTTTTTTTTCATTATCCCTCAGTGTGTACTTTAAAGTGTAACTTTCATTTTAAATTCAAGAATTTTTCCACCAAATAGAATAAAGACAAATTCCAGAAGCAAGTTAAGCTTTAATTTGTTTGGACTGAAAGCAAAACAATATTATAAATTTTAATGTTGAAAAACACAATTTTCATAGCAACACAACCTCTACTTTATACTGATGTCAAGCAGATACATATACTGGGAATTACAAGTGTTTAAACAAAGAAATCCTTTGTTTCTACAATGTATTGCCTGCTTTAGAGCAAATAGGTGTATCTTCCTTCAAAAGTGAGCACTAACCCTGGGGGTAGATCTGTGTAGAGTGGCACTAACCCTGGGGGTAGATCTGTGTAGAGTGGCACTAACCCTGGGGGTAGATCTGTGTAGAGTGGCACTAACCCTGGGGGTAGATCTGTGTAGAGTGGCACTAACCCTGGGGGTAGATCTGTGTAGAGTGGCACTAACCCTGGGGGTAGATCTGTGTAGAGTGGCACTAACCCTGGGGGTAGATCTGTGTAGAGTGGCACTAACCCTGGGGGTAGATCTGTGTAGAGTGGCACTAACCCTGGGGGTAGATCTGTGTAGAGTGGCACTAACCCTGGGGGTAGATCTGTGTAGAGTGGCACTAACCCTGGGGGTAGATCTGTGTAGAGTGGCACTAACCCTGGGGGTAGATCTGTGTAGAGTGGCACTAACCCTGGGGGTAGATCTGTGTAGAGTGGTTACAATGTGATCTTTTTTCAATTTCAGAACCTTGTTTGCCCTTGGTATTGTGATGACCATCCTTAATTGTGAGTATATTCAGCATGTCTGCGCAATAGTAATTTCATTTAAAACAGATTTTCGTTTTAAATTTAAAAAAATGACTCAGATACACTTTTAATCTTAATTACAAAGCATTTAAATCTTAATAACAAAGCATTTAATTCTCAAACAAGCCAATGCTTAAAAAAAATTGCAATAACATTTGACTCATGGATACATTTTTAATTTTCGATTAAAAAAGATTAAAAAATAATCAGAGCCAACGTCAGTCCAAAAGTAGGTTGGTTGTTCAGTGGGGTGCTGCACTTGAGTATTGGATACCCCAGATATGCAGGGTGATTGATGAAATATGACAATAAAGTTAGAAGGGTGTATCAATCACAACATGCTCAAGCCTTACCAGTTGGTACTTACTTATTGGCCAACTAGTTTCGCCTCAATGTTCGAGGCTTCATCAGGACCATTTAATTTTAATTACAAAGCATTTAATTCTAAAACAAGCTCATGCTTAGAAAAATCCTTCATCTCAACTAAATGTTCATCTTGTTTATCCTCTCTGTCCAGGAAAGTGGTTCTACTGCAGTGTTAAGTATATGTCATTAGGACTCCTACCATGGCTCTTTTTCAGTGAAATGTTGGGAAGTAGATGCAATGTCATGTGTTTATCTGTGTGAGAATTCTTCGACCCGACACATAAACACCATATTAACAGAAGCTAAAATATTAAATTAGTAAGATACCTACGGGAACTCAGTACGGTGTCAGAATGAGATTAGCAATAGACGTACAGGTAGGCTATGATAAACGGTGTCCAGTTATAAAAGTTGTAGACATTTGAACTTGTAATGATAATATAAAGGACAGTTGGCCTATAATACTGCTCTTATAAATACAGAATCCCGCTAGTAAGATACCGTTCTGTTTCCTACCCAGGTCCCATTGAGTGGTTTACACTGGCGTTTGATATCCCCTTCATGCTCCTACTCAATGACATACGACAGGGAGTATTCTACGCAATGCTCCTCTCCTTCTGGATCATTTTCACGGGAGAACACATCATGGTACGGACTAGCTCACAGCTGAGTATTTCTTAAAGAATCTTTTTTTAATCCAACGTAAAGCATGACACATTTTCATGAAATTTACCATAAACAAGTAACTTCTAGTATCAAGTACCTTCTCAAGTTTGATTCTGACCTGCACTCAAATTCTAATGAGACTGCTGCAGTGTGATTTGTTGATGGGATCTGAATTTCTTTTTAAACAACTATCAGATTTTCAGAAAACTTGCCTTGTATCATGTCTACCAAAGTCCCTAGCTCGTGTTTGATGCACAACCTATAGTACACTTACTGCCCAAATTTCTTGCTCAAACACAATGCTAGACCAAATATTGAATATCTTATAAGGCTACTGTGATCTGATCAATAATAATAATAATCCAATGGCACATAAACCATATTGTATTCCTTCATCTTTGGATACTTGGAACTCTTTGTTAAAATTTTGTAGAAAAATGCCAATGACAATAAAAGTACACAATTGTTATTAGTAATGTCCCACTTTGTAAAAAAAAAATGAAATAGAAATCTTGTTTGAAGTATAGAATAAAACTTAGCATACATGACAAGTTTTCAAAATGATTGTCTGTGACATGTTTATCTGTAAGACATTCTTCCAACAGGACCAGACAGAGAGGAACCGTCTGTCTCTCTACTGGAAACACTTGACAGCTGTGGTGTTTGGCTGCATCTGCATGTTCGTCTTCGAAATGTGTGAAAGGTACCGTAATTTTACTCAGGATTTGTACTAGAAACTAAAGAAAATGTAATTATAATAACTGAAATTACTGTTATTACTGTTTAACATGGTCTGTATGTCAAAATATCTTGAGAAATTTAATACATATGTATGTGGTTTTTTTTTGCCCCACCCGTACTAACTATTATTAATCAAATTGGTTTTTAACAGTATGAGATTTATTTAGAAATTAGGGTATGTGTGATTTCGATAACAGATAACCATGTTTAACCTGTTTTTCCAGAGGAATCCAGTTAAAGAACCCCTTCTTCAGTGTTTGGACCACACCTACTGGCACCAATCTGGCTGTATCCTTGCATTTCTGTCAGAGATTTTCAAAGAATTATCTCCCTTATATAACCAAAAACCATTTCAAGAGCATGGTTTACCTCCATATGTATACTTTCTTCACGGCATCCAGAGGTAAACTGATTCTTTGTATATATCACTGGAAATTATCATAATTTAGATTATAATGCCAATTAAACTAGTATAAATTTATGTAAAATTGTTTGAGAAATGAACCAATCCTTGTTTATAGTGTTTCATTAACAAAACCTTCAGCTCGCATTTATCATTCTGGCTGGAGTTGCAGCGAGTTGCTATTTCCTTTTCCTGTGTTATATGGTCGTCTGTGTGTTTAAAACCATCAGCGCTAAACGGATGACTCTGCCCAGCATGAGCAGCCTGAGGAGGCGTTTCTACATGGTAAGAACAGTTAATATAGTCGGATAAGACTCAGGTAACACACAGAATATTGCTATGATTAAATATGAAGTTTCACATGGTAAGGACAGTTAATATAGTCGGATAAGACTCTGGTAACACACAGAATATTGCTATGATTAAATATGAAGTTTCACATGGTAAGGACAGTTAATATAGTCGGATAAGACTTGGGTAACACACGGTATATTGCTATGATTAAATATGTAGTTTCACATGGTAAGAACAGTTAATATAGTCGGATAAGACTTGGGTAACACACAGAATGTTGCTATGATTAAATATGTAGTTTCACATGGTAAGGACAGTTAATATAGTCGGATAAGACTCGGGTAACACACAGAATATTGCTATGATTGAATATGTACAGTGTAGTTTCACATGGTAAGAACAGTTAATATAGTTGGATAAGACTCGGGTAACACACGAAATATTGCTATGATTAAATATGTAGTTTCACATGGTAAGGATATTCACCGCAATTGGATGCAATAGTTTATCTAATATTTTTCTGAATCAGAATGATGGTGTCATTCATTTTTTTACTATTATAATCAATATTTCTTGATTTAATCTGTGGGAATCCTACGAACTTGGATATTTTTGTAACATTCCGAGCCCCACATAGGCAGATAATGTAAGGATTTGACACCAGCCCAATGACATGAAGACATGAAGACTTATAGCCTCTTTGAAACATCGCTTCATTCTGCTATGCTGTCATTGACAGGAGGCAGACGGATGGTGTCTATTTGAATTGTCAGACACAAGCTTTACCTGCCTTTTGTTCAGTACTTACCTTGCAAACACTGACTACTTGAGGCACCTTGCAAACACTGACACTGCCAGATCAACAACACATTCAAGCTGCCAGTCCCCCAGTGCCAAAGGCACTTTGACTATTACATTATAACAAGTGAAATATCAGAAATCCATTTGATAAAAACTTATATATTCGTTGCAATAACTTTTTTGAACATCCTTGGTACATGTGCTACTTAATTAACATGACTATAATCAATACATTTTTGTAAGCAAAGCATGCCAGTTAACAGTAGAAAATGATAGAATGACATTGTACATGGAGTAGTCTACTCAAAATGGTGCACAGCCTTGTTGTCAGGCGTGACAGCATTATAATATGGTGCACAGCCTTGTTGTCAGGCGTGACAGCATTATAATACTGTGCACAGCCTTGTTGTCAGGTGTGACAGCATTATAATATGATGCACAACCTTGTTGTCAGGTGTGACATCATTATAATATGATGCACAGCCTTGTTGTCAGGTATGACAGCATTATAATATGATGCACAGCCTTGTTATCATGTGTGACAGCATTATAATATGATGCACATCCTGGTTGTCAGGTGTGACAGCATTATAATATGATGCAGAGCCTTGTTGTCAGGTGCGACAGCATTATAATATGATGCAGAGCCTTGTTGTCAGGTGTGACAGCATTATAATATGATGCACAGCCTTGTTATCATGTGTGACAGCATTATAATATGATGCACAGCCTTGTTGTCAGGTGTGACAGCATTATAATATGGTGCACAGCCTTGTTGTCAGGTGTGATGGCATTATAATATGATGCACAGCCTTGTTGTCAGGTGTGACAGCATTAGAGGAGGAGGGGCAGCCTTGTTGTCAGGCGTGACAGCATTATAATATGATGCACAGCCTTGTCAGGTGGGACAGCATTATAATATGATGCACAACCTTGTTGTCAGGTGTGACAGCATTATAATATGGTGCGCAGCCTTGTTGTCAGGTGTGATGGCATTATAATATGATGCACAGCCTTGTTGTCAGGTGGGACAGCATTATAATATGATGCACAGCCTTGTTGTCAGGCGTGACAGCATTATAATATGATGCACAGCCTTGTTATCATGTGTGAGAGCATTATAATATGATGCACAGCCTTGTTGTCAGGTGGGACAGCATTATAATATGATGCACAGCCTTGTTGTCCGGTGTGACAGAATAATAATATGATGCACAGCCTTGTTGTCAGGTGTGATAATATGATGCACAACCTTGTTGTCAGGTGTGACAGCATTATAATATGGGGCACAGCCTTGTTGTCAGGTGTGATGGCATTATAATATGATGCACAGCCTTGTTGTCAGGCGTGACAGCATTATAATATGATGCACAGCCTTGTCAGGAGTGACAGCATTATAATATGATGCACAGCCTTGTTGTCCGGTGTGACAGAATAATAATATGATGCACAGCCTTGTTGTCAGGTGTGCCAGCATTATAATATGGTGCACAGCCTTGTTGTCATGTGTGACAGCATTATAATATGATGCACAGCCTTGTGATCATGTGTGACAGCATTATAATATGATGCACAGCCTTGTCAGGTGTGACAGCAGTATAATATGATGCACAGCCTTGTTGTCAGGTGTGATAATATGATGCACAACCTTGTTGTCAGGTGTGACAGCATTATAATATGACGCACAGCCTTGTTGTCAGGTGTGACAGCATTATAATACTGTGCACAGCCTTGTTGTCAGGTGGGACAGCATTATAATATGATGCACAACCTTGTTGTCAGGTGTGACAGCATTATAATATGATGTACAGCCTTGTTGTCAGGTGTGACAGCATTATAAGATGATGCACAGCCTTGTTGTCAGGTGTGACGACATTATAATATGATGCAAAGCCTTGTTGTCAGGTGTGACAGCATTATAATATGATGCACAGTCTTGTCAGGTGTGACAGCATTATAATATGATGCAGAGCCTTGTTGTCAGGTGTGACAGCATTATAATATTGTGCACAGCCTTGTTGTCAGGTGTGACAGCATTATAAGATGATGCACAGCCTTGTTGTCAGGTGTGACGACATTATAATATGATGCAAAGCCTTGTTGTCAGGTGTGACAGCATTATAATATGATGCAGAGCCTTGTTGTCAGGTGTGACAGCATTATAATACTGTGCACAGCCTTGTTGTCAGGTGTGACAGCATTATAAGATGATGCACAGCCTTGTTGTCAGGTGTGACGACATTATAATATGATGCAAAGCCTTGTTGTCAGGTGTGACAGCATTATAATATTATGCACAGCCTTGTTGTCAGGTGTGACAGCATTAGAGGAGGAGGGGCAGCCTTGTTGTCAGGCGTGACAGCATTATAATATGGTAACAAACATTACACTACTTAAAGGTGTGATGGCATTATAATATGATGCACAGCCTTGTTGTCAGGCGTGACAGCATTATAATATGGTAACAAACATTACACTACTTAAATCCACACTTTGTTGATGCAGTAACATTTTTATCATTACACTTCAAAAAAAGGTAATAAAATAGAATTTGTATTAGTTTTTCTTGTTGAATACCAGATATGTGTTGCCCTTGACAGAATATAACAATATTTTTACCTTGTGCTTTGCCGCCCTAAATCATATCAGTATTTTGCCATACTCATGATATATATCTGGTATTCAACACAAAAGTGACAATATTGCATTGGTAAACCATTAAATATCCTCTATACATCTTCCTTTTCAGGGCTTGATCTACAGATTTAAGTTCCTGATGTTAGTCACGCTGTTTTGTTCTGCCATGACAGTCATTTTCTTCATCATCAGTCAGTTGAGCGAGGGACAATGGAAGTGGGGGGATGAGGATCTCAACATCCAGTACACCAGCGGTTTCTTCACTGGTCAGTATCAACCTACACAACTGTATCGTGTGTGCAAATGCAGTATGTTGATAAAGTTGATCTACCACATTCTGTTGTAATTATAAATAAGTATCCAGATTCGGTCATTCGATCAATTTAGGAAGCATGGTAGTCTAGTAACGTGGTAGATGCCAGGCTCATGACCGAAGGGTCGTGGGTTTGCATCCCCTTATGGCACTTTTTATCCTTGAACAAGATACTTTACGCTGCTTATTCCAGCCTACTCAGCTGTAAATAATAAGTGGTAGGGCAGTGCTGGAATTGTTGAATGCTAGCTGTGAGCGCCTAAATGGCAGCATGGCTGTATGCTCCCCAGGGAGTTGAGAAAGATATTGGCTGGTTGTAAAGGCCCAATAACCATCGATAATATTAAATTTGGATCAAATCAATTGAAAGCCTCATTATTAATCTTTTGATATTTAACCGACCACAATGTGTGTTGTAGGTGTGTATGGCATGTGGAACATCTACATCTTTGGGTTGCTGTCCATGTATGCTCCCTCTCACAAAACAGTTGTGGAAGTTGGTAAGTGTTACCTCTGAAAATTACATAAACTACACATAAACAAAATTATTTGTCATTTTTCATGCAGAAGTCTCGACTAATGTGGCACTGTTTCTGTCCATTTGTTTGCGCATTAACGTATTCCAATTGGATATTTTATATATTTAATTGATGTTCCTTGTTTTACTCGATCAAGCCTTCTGGAATTTGTTCCATTCTATATCATTGATCAGCAGATTTACCATATTGCACACATTTGCGTGTTTAATCACACAATGGGACCATCGATTGTTTAATCGCCCAGTTGTGTGGTGGCACAGTAGTTTTGGTATGTTAGGCGATCACTAAACAGTAACATACTAGAATATGATTATATTTCTTATGACACTTACTCAGCATTTACAATTTTCAGAGTGTAAAACTAAGTACTGTAATTACATACCTGTGTCGTTACAGATGCTGATGAGAACAGTCAGGAGGAATCTGTACAGCTAACACAGCTACCGTCGTCAAGTCTCCCATCAGAGACGTCCGCTCTGCAGGCTTTTGTCAGCAAGACTGCCCAGGATTAACTCAATTCTGTGGGATCCGTGGTAACTGCTGTACCCCCAAAATCTTACGCAAATGTTCACCCTTGAACTTTCATAATGAGCTATTCCAACTTTTGAATTGGAAGAGTTCAAATGTGTTTTCAGGGGTGTTTAAGTTAAAGTTGTCTCAGAAAGCTAATGTGACTAGCATTTCTTCTTCAAGTGTAATTGATGATTTGAAATCATACAAACTTTTTGAAGATTCTATATTTGGCTGACACGTTGTATTGTTATTGTCTCTGGATCAAGTCCATCAATGTTTATTATTATTATTATGTGAAATGCAATAATATTCATATTGATCATTTGATTGTATTCATATTTCTTTTGTTTGACAATTCATTAACTTTTGAAAATTATGATCATTTTATGTTCATTTTAAATTGATGCATATTTCTTCTCCTGCTTGGAATTTTCAAAACAGAAAATATTAAAAATCAATCAATACCAGTGCTTTAAGGAATTAGGAACCACCACTGTACCCAAATCAGGACAGTGCCCAAAACGGGACACTTGTGGGAAAACGGCCCAAGAAACTGTCATTCATTGCAAAGAAGTTTTTTTTTATGTATACAGTTTTCATTTGATAATACTTTTCGTGACAATTAAACTGTATTAAGCTTTATTGGCTGCTGATTATCGTTACATGGACAATTTAAAGGTATGAATAATGACCAAAACTAGACTTTCCTGATTTAAGTGCCGTGGGACGCTATTCATTAGGATATCATTTTCAAAAGTATATTTTATCAAAACCAATGCTAGTTTGGAGAAGAAATATTTTCAGAACCCTCATTGACTCTAAAATATTTCAACTATGCATATTTTCTGCCAATATTGATTGTTTATCAATATAAATATTCGCCAAAATACCGGAAGTGTCCCTTTCATTGTACAGTAATGCCGGTTCAAGGGCCTACGTAACTCTGATGGTATTTTGCGTTCTTTTTATAGAACCATGCACCTGAAATATCAAAATGTGACAGCAATAAAAAGTGGATACTATCTTTTTTTGAAAAATGAACAAACATTTTTTGAACTGATAGTATATGGTATAAAAAACATTGATATTTATCTAAAAAGTGTCCCGATTCGGGTACAGTGACATTAAAGTGTTGTCTCAGTTCACAGTTACGATACTTTAATGTATTTCCAGCAATAAACAAAATATTTCCCACTAATTTATGATAAGGTAGAAGAAAGTCATAAATGTAAAGACGAATGGTTGATGATTGAGAAGAGGTTCAATGTTGTTATTTCTGTGAAGCTAAGCTGGATGTGATTTTTTGGGTGCTTGTTCCCTTGTTCATTTGGTATTTTAGTCAGATAAATCGGTCCATAAAACTACAACCCAAACATTTCCCCACAAAATGCAGAAAAAATCTAGCAAGGATTTATCGGCATAAGTTACGTCCAATGCTTTCTGAACAAGTGATCTTGACTTTACAAGATCAAAGTCACTCTGAAAAGACCTGTTACCAGTAGGCAAGTTTGATCACTGGTTTTACAGTACAGTTGATAAAGAAAAATAAGATTTATTTTGTGAAATTTTTTGACTCATATTATTGATTTGATTGTACGGTGTTATATACTCATAGTTTAGTGTGTGTTTAAATTATTAAGTGATGTAATAACAATTATATACATATGCATGCTCGATAAATTTTGTATAAAAAGAAAATTAAACAAATATGTCTATCCAGAGACGTAATATATACGTCTCTGGTCTTACCTGTTATTAATTTGAACATAATATAATTTTTGTTTTTGTAATCTTTGTCAAAAGTCACAAAACTTTAATTAATACCAAAGTAACCTGTCCTGGTGGGAGAGTCTGATAGTACAGTATAGGTCAGAATCACAAAAAGGAAAAGTAAGCCATTCTATGGGGAATAACCTAAGACCTTGTGGTGAAATATAAAAGCTACTCAAGATATAAATCATTTATAATTATTAGGTCAATCTTGTGAAGACCGTGTGTATTTTCAGATATGAAGATTTGAAAATATCAACATGGCAGAACAGTTATTGCAATAACACAAAACCGGAATTAAATGCAAAATGATTCATTGTCGCTACACCTAGTACTTTGATTACGTTATTACCCCCCCCCCCCCCCCCCCCCCTTATATTATTGATTATATTACATCATAATATTGAAAGCAATTGCTTGAAGAAAGTTGCAAGGCTTGAAAATGTTAGCAATTATAAACTGTGTATACCCTGGTGATGTTTTTAGTTTTGTATATGGAAAGATGAGGGGAGTGGGGGCTAAAATAATTGTGAGTAGAGAGGACCCCACAAAAAGTAACCCTTTCACCCCTCCTCCGCCATATATTTATTTCAGGAAAAGTGTTTAAACAATAAGTTGTTAAAGGTTGGTATATCAACAGTGACCCATATGATTGTAACAAAAAACCAGACATGATTTATAAAGGCATATAACTGACTGGTCTAATTTATCTTGTGAAATGTGTTAATTGACAGATACCTTTAATGTGTTGTATTCCTACTAGGAAGTTATTTTCATTAGTACCTTCTAAATACATTACAGCATTCTAGACCCTTTTCACATGTAAAGCTATTATTATGTGAAAGGCTTGTAATCTTGATATATGTACTCATTATGTGTGTTTATTCAACCATAATCTCTTTCCCGGCTTATGAAGTAGGTGAATAACCTTCTGAAAAATTATGACTATTTATATCTTTATTTCAGAGAATTTGCACAAATTTTCCATTCATGCAGTTTTTAGAATTACAAAAAAAATCTCAAGGCTATGGAGTTATGAAATGTGAATATTGTATACTCAGTGATTCATTGAAGAATTCTGTGTCATTAAAATTAACTTGACATCTTCTTCCTGTGAATAGATGAGTCAGGTCCTAACAAGTCCTCTAGGACATTTTCTCAGTTATCACAACAGTAGACTGGAATGCTACATGTACAGCTGATATAAACAAGCATTAAAATCAACAGTCATACATATTCATATCACTTTCCCAAGTCATCCTATTTTTGTAAACTCTACAAATATTTCGCTCATTAGAGTTTGTTCTCCTGCATGTTAATACAATTTTGTGCAATATTTGTCACATGGGCAAACAATATTGTATAATTTGTTTTGTTAACTGGGGTTTTCCCTTCTGCTTCCCATTATCGACATTATTTTTTTTTTTAATTCTTAACATGTATTTCACATTAGTTAAATAAATTTCTACATATTTACGTCACATCATCTAATTTATAACTTTGTGTCTGGTATTACAACATAGCGTCATTATAACATTTTTCACCTAACTTTAAAAGTACATAACAAATATCTAAGCCTGGTACAGTAGAACACAACCCAAATAGACCAAAGAAATCAGTTCTCAAAAGGAAAAAACTGTTTGTAATGAACCCAATGCAAGGGGACTTGAGAAGTTAGTTTTCTTACAGTAAACATTTTCATAAGGAACTACAGCGGTCCTACATATATATACTTGATAAATTACTTCCTACCAGTAAAATATGGTTATATTAAGCTCAAGGGGGACCTAAGAAATCAGTTTTCTACTGTAAAACTTGTTTAAAACAAACCACAGGCACTTGAGTTATTTTCTACATGAACCAGTGGGCATCACAGACATCACATCTCTACTACAGTAAAACAGGTTTAAAACAAACCAAAGAGGATCTAAAAATACATCCTCTACGGTACAACACACTTATAATGAACCCTATACCAAAGAAATTATTTCACTAATAAAACACAGGTTTGAAGAGCCACACAGAATATTGTTTCCCTATAAATAAAACTGTTTACACTACAATCCCTTGCCATATGACAACAACGTGGTTTTAAAAACTTGTAATAAGCATCTTCATAATAATTCAGTTTTAATGTATATGTACGTTTACAACCTATTAGTTCTGCTGTATACATGTGTTATAATGTCTGCATGAAACACCATGTGTCTCGTATCATTGTACGTATATTGATGAAATTGATTGTGTTTTGGGGAAGTAATGTAAAGTAGACACTTTTAACAATTTGGCCATTGTTTATTTATTTCTGTCCATTGTTATTTATTTCTGTCCATTAGAAAACATGAATTAGCAAACAATTGGAGATACATACCTGCCAACCCCAGATATACTGAAGGGGATGACCGTCTTTTGAAAATATAAAAGAGGGTCATAGCGCGTATCTAGGATATACATTAAACGAGTAACACCAACATTGATGTTCTCAGCCTGTTTGATACTGCAAAAGCTTGTGTTCAACACCCACAGAAGTACTAGTCAGAGTCCCACAGTTAAAAGTGTCCACTTTTATGTTACATACCTTACATTAGTGATGAACTATCCTGAATCTCATTTAAATATATAATAATATTGTGTTCATAATCAGAAAAGGTTGATACTAGATATACCGGTAAACAAAATGCATTCAATGTACTTTTGCAATAGATATCTGATATCTTCCTGATAATGTCTTTATGACGTCAATTAAAACAAGTTATTTTAAGGGACTTTTTTTTCGTTTAGACATTTTCCTGGTATTGCTCCAATTTTATTATTTACAGGTCATTAAACTTTTATTCAAGAATGTTTTTATATCTTCAGTAACCTTACAATCATAAGAGTATTTACGGAATGTAGCTAAAGCAGCCCGATATGGAGACAACAACCCGCGGTAAATCTGTGTGGTGGGTCATGGAGGTTTTGAAGGATGTGCCGATAGACATGGAGGTGTTGAATATCAAACATCAATAGAACTTGTATTAATAGTTCCTTCCATGTTGTTGCCAAGAAGATTGCAATTTTTCTAATCTTTCATTTTGATTGACCGCATATTTTAAAATCCATCTGTTGTCAAACGTATTTCTAATAAAATTACTGCAACATTATGTAATCAAAACGAACGTTGATGCATTTCAGCTGTTATGTTCCGGAGTGCTTTAAGTACCATATGGTAAAGTGTCAATTAAATACATGTTTTATGTCCAATAAATACAGCAGGTTGTGATGGAATGGCATTGAGTCTCGGCAATAGTAGTGCTTGTAAAAATGTTAGTCAACCTATAGTTAAATGTAGATCTACAATATTTGTGGGACGTTTTAGTTGATGAGTGTTTCGTATATTATACCGTTTGAAATATATTAGATTTACACATACTTTTGTAGTTGGCATTTACAGAATAGAAAAGTTTTATATTTTTAATGTTAGCAAAGTTTCATTTAGCTTTGAAATTAGCTGAATATCTATGTACTTCCTTGTATTGGAATAAATGTGATACAGTCTTTTGGTCTGTGTTTATTGTCATATTTTACGCTACAATGTCAAATGATGATACGATGTCGCCTTACATACGTGGAACACCCTGATGAATTAGGAAACTTTTCATACGTTGAAATATTTTATGTTATAAAGGATGTGTTGTTTATTAAAAGGACTCTTTCACATTTCACTTAAAATTAAACCGTTTTCCCCAATGTTGCAATAGAGGAAGCCGTTTTATTTTGGTCGTGGTTGAGTCCTTAGTGGAGGGCACATTAACAACTCCCGGATTCTGCGGGAGGTTTCCACA